TGTAGATGTCTATGGGCCACAGCAACCACTTACCATCAGGTGGACTGTGTGCTCGTTTGTCTCTTATTCTATAAAAAATACTATATAATTATCCTATTAAATAAATAGATTGCTTCATCGGAAGGATTTTGTTATAGTTGCCCTGCTTGGCAGGCGGGTTGGTAACAGCATTATTTTTATTATTATTTCGAGTTGTTATCACCAGAAAGGTGCTGCTGTATCTTCAATTTTAATTCCCCACGTTACCGTATTTCGTCTCACGGAACGATATACGATAGTGGAAATTCTTACCCCGTTACTACACGGTAAATTATAATAAGATAAAGTAATTAAAAGATTTTTGGTGGTCGACTGGATTTCGATAAGTAGAAAAAGTATTTTTATGACAGGCCTGAGTGAATGGTTGTGCCTTTGTGTTCATATTTGTACCCACCTCCGACGGAATCGATCATTCGTTCCACCGGACAAGGGACGCTCTTTGACAGGGTATGCCTTTGTGCTTGCGAAACATAACTTTATATTGGTTTGCATACATAATAGGTTTGGTTGATATTAGGTAACATATCGGTAGACTCAAAGGCGTTAGTGTTTTTTGGGCGGGTCGATTTATAATTGACTAAAAGTATCATTAGACTAGCTGTTCCCCGCGACTTCGCCTGCGTGGAGTTAGTTTTCGCGGAACGCTAAAATAAAAGCAGCCCAAGTTACTCCTTATAACATCAGCTATCTGCCAATGTGTGTAAATATTAACAAATATTGACATTAATATTTATACGATACTAACGTCACTCAATTGGTTTGCCTTCCCGGAATCCCCCCACTAAGACTTAAACTTTATGGTATGATATTAAAGTTCAAATTGACTTTTAAGTATTATTACGAATCTTTTGTATGAGAATATAGAAAAGTGTTGTTTTTAGACTTTTTCAGGCAATTTTTAAAATTTTTCTCTCCGTAAGAACCTTCTTCGTACTTCAAGGAATATTATATAAAAAGAGTTAGCGAAATCGGTTCAGCTGCTCTCGAGATTTGCGCTTAGCAACACATTCAGGGATTCATTTTTATATTAGGTATAGTATTATAATAGGTAAAGAAAATTTATAAGAAATTCATGGCTTCCAGTTTTAAATATCAATACCAGTTTAGATGGCGCGATACGTTTGGTAGTAAATGAACATTAATCCGCCCACTGAACACAGTAAGCGACAAATCTGTACTACTTAAAAATAGCCTGGGCACTGTTGGCGCTGTTCGACGGACCAAAGAAACCTAAATCATGCTATCGAAGTTTCCGAAAGACTTATTTATATATCACGAATATATTATCACAAATATCGATCAATGTGATTTCTTCCTACAAACTCTTGATAAAAAAGGCCCACTTCTAATAGTTGATATATTTAATTGAATATTTGAAATAGGAAATGAAAAGTAAAGGTTTCTTAAATTTGTGCGAACAATACATACATATAAAAATACTTGTAAAAGTAAATATTACCTTCATATAAATAAAAATAATAAACCTAATGATTTCTTATAGTTACGCGTACACTACACATTTAAATAAAATTAGTTTTTAAGGATTTTATAGTGTATATTAACTTATTTTATATTCCCGATGTTTAGAGCACTTTACAGTACACATGACCACAGGGGAGGGGGGGGGGACTGAAGTGTTCGTCCCAATGCTAAAGTTAACCATGCCTACCTCCTCATAAAAATTATATTATTAATAAAATGAAATCGCAACTCAAGCACACATCTGCAAGACTTCGAGATACTATAAGTTCATACTGCGTAGATCAGAATAAAAATAAATAATTTTTATCTGGATGTAGCTGTGGTTAACTATGACATTGGGACGTCGAACACCTCAGTCCCCCCCCCCCCCCCCCATGACCATGGGTGCTGTAAAGTGCTTGAAACGTCGGCAATATAAAATAAGTTAATAAAGGCATACTTTTGTATTTAAATTTTAATATTTAACTCTTGAGTGGACTAAAGAATTTGACTAGTTTTTTTTATAGAATAAGGGTGACAAAAGAGCACACAGTCAACCTGATGGTAAGTGGTTGTTGTGGCCCATAGACATCTACATCTATCCTCGATTACAAATCAAAATGCAAATGCTTTGTCACCCGTGAGGACTAAGATGAAATGCCTCATTTCCAGTAAAATGGATCTCCGGTTCTCTACACGCACTATACGAAACACAGCAGCGTTAAGCTGCTATTCTACGCTGCTACTCTGTGAGAGCATGGTCCTTTCCCGGTCAAGCCAACCCATTCGTGCCACAACTATACTACTAATATAGCTACAGCATGACTAGTACGTCAAATAATTATATTTTAAGGTAATAACTAGAACGTCATCTTATTAGTTACATTAAAAACTTCATCACCTGGTTTTGTACCCTTAAGGTAGGGGTTTTCCTCATATGTATATGAGACCATTTCGTAAATATATCGTTTTAAAAAAAAGGAATTATTAAAATCGGTTCATACTTGACAAAGATATTGCGTATCATATAGGTATACAAAATTAAAATATAAAACAGACACACACAAATATACAGTCGAATTGAGAACCTCTTCCTTTTTTATTTTAAAGCCTGACGTCTTGAGAGCTTTGAAGCACCTTTAATTGCGGGTTAGGGGACAATGAATATAATGAAAAATGTTACAAACGTTTAAGAAAATAATAAAAACGAATAAATATTGTATTAATCTGCGGTGCATAGAGTAATCGCGGACAGAGGATACAGGTTAACAAAGTTACCTAGAAACCTGGATCTTCAGCAATGTTTTTATGTATTGTTCTCTTAAGGCGCGTCTCCACTAAAAGTGTTGACAACATTTATGTTTCCAACTGTTGACAAATCAACAAAAGTTGACGACATTTGTTTCCGAAAATGTTTCAAAATGTTGCAAAAAGCGTCTCCACCGAGGGAACAAATGTCGGTAACAAGCGTATTCCTTTGATGTTGCCACCGAAAATGGAAACACGATTCCCGACATTGTTTCGTTTTGTTGCTAAACTAGGTGATTACAGAAACATTTGTCGGCAACACGTGTTGCCAAATGTTGTGTTGACAACAAAACTTTGGTGGAGACGCGCCATTAGAACAAGTACATAAGTGAGAGCAATTCTTCTATTTTTAAGAATGTGTACTTTTGCTTCTAAAACTCAGCAGTATTTGATTTTACGAACGTTTAAAAAATGATCCTCTTGCAAAAAATATTTTCTTGGTGATATGGTGTGTAAAAATGGGACATACATTTTTTTATTCTTTCTTTAATATATAATTTTTTCTTTTGTCCTTCAGGATTCCGTTATGTAACGAACTTAGTCGTGCATCTTTGTTAATACGTACTATAGGTTGAATGTGCTTCATAATTGTTCTTTTACTAACGAGTTGTCCATTTCAAGCTTTTACCATTGCATATTGTAGCACTTATATAATATGTCCGAACTAAATAATTTACAAAAAAAAATGTATCACTATTTTAAAATCATTTCTACATTTACTTGGTGTATTTCTAATTTCAATACAGTACGATAGTAACATTTTTCAACATTTAGGGGGAGGTTTGTGAGTTGTTGTAAGCCTCTACATATAATTAATGTGTAGGATGTCGATGTAGGTTGTATCTACGTTACGGGATGTGGTAATTAAAACTGTGTCCGATTCCGTAGATAGCGTTTATTGTACTAAAAATACTTATGAATAAAATGTAATTGCAATGAATGTGTCGCGCGCGCAAGCGCAATATCAGCATATTTCCTAAACTATTGAAATACCATGTAATAGCTCGTACAGCATTTCTTCGAGTTTTCCTTACTTAAAATGTCTTGTTAATACCAAAGGCGCGAGTGCTTATGGTCGGATCTAAAATAAAGTCCTTTTGTAAGTAAGACTTTCACATAAGGAAAGTAAGGATGGACGATTTTTATTGTTTCATGAAATTTTGATTTGTATTAAAATAAAATAGGCCTTTGAGCGCCACTGTCACCTTCGACAGCGGAGAGATCATTTTACGTGTGGTTGATTGTGCCTTTCTACAAACGTTTTAGCAATTATTCCGCATAAAACGACCGGACCTTGTACCTGTTATACTGCGTTAACACTTGACTTTAAAGAAAGTGTGAATAGGTTTTTATTAAGCGTCAATACGATGAATCGTCTTCGGCTACACTACCACTTACCATCCAGTAGGTTTGTTTTTTAATGTTCTTCAAATTGAACTTTGATCAAGGGGCCAATCTCAACAAGGATGTTGAGTGTTATGAAATATAGCAAATAACAACTGCAAGATTTTCTATTTTGTTATTTAATGAAATTGGTAGTTCACAATTCACACACCACAAAACTATATGCGTTCAACACAGACGCCATGCCTCTACATTCCATGCGTTAATACCATAGACAAAATTGCTCATAGTATTACAGTAAAATAAAGTTAACACTATGAAATTCTTACCCTAATAAAGGAGACTAGCAATATTCGCAGTACACAATTTGGTAGAGTACGATATGCACAGGCATAGCTTCATTCTCTGTTCCGATGTCCATTATGTTCATATTCCATAGTCCAATGTGACGGTAATCTGATACGACTGGAGAGAGATCAGGTGTGGGAACAACCTTTTTCCGTGTTTTCCGAGGCACAGGAGTGAAGTACCACAATTTGATATTTTTACTGAGAATTTCTTAAGAGAAAAACTCATTAATTAATTTTGGCCCGACCTAGAATGGGACAGGTTCCAATCCCGGATCCACGTATAGCGCGATCAGCAGTAACGATCACTACTACAAGACCAATGAGACAGTTAAACGATGCGATAGTAGTCAACCACTACGTTATAGTATTAAAAAGAACATGATAGAAACTTTTGATTATTGACTCATGTTAATTAAATTAATGTACATTTTTCTACTCTTTTATTATTATTGTTTTTAATTAAATATTCAATATTAATTGATTAATTTTATTCTGCAGTGGAGGTAGAGTCAGTACAAGGACCGACGGGCGGGCGAGTGGAGTTGCCTTGCGATGTGAGTCCAGCTCTCTCCGCAGACAAAGTTGGCCTCGTTATATGGTATAAGCAGGGTCACGAAACACCAATATATTCGTAAGTAGAATTATAAATCATCTTAAATAAAAAGAACACTTTTTGAAAAAATAAAATGATGTCCCACATAATAAAGGCAATTAAACGGAAAGTATTGAGCAGCTGGAAAATATATAGTGATCTAATCTTTACCCTTATGAGCTCGAAACATGCTAACGTTCGAGCATCGTCTAGCAGACGTCTTGCATCTAAGGCTGAGATCTATAGACCGTACTTTGACTTTGCTCAGACTTTACTTTCGAGCTAAGATAATGTCGGTATTTATAAAGCTAACTTAGAAATCGTGCTGAGTGCGCGTTTAGCAAAGCCTAAGTCAACGATATCGACGACTTACATAAAACTCAGAATATTATTCAAAACCACCGTATTAATTTTAAATTGTTGTTTTTATGTTTCTTTAATTAATTAAAACAATAAATAGGTAGCTTTAGGCCGTATTCTAATTTTAAATAGCATTAATCCATTTTCTATTTACGTAATTTCAATCTTATTTCGAATTTCTTCAAATCTTATTTTTGTCTTTTTTTCTGATCTTGCACTCATCTCATCCTTTACCGTTCTCATACACCATTTTCTATTTAATGTAATTTCTATTAATTGTATTTTTTGTAATTTTATACAATAATTTTGATTTTTAATATATATATTATTTAATTTTATACAGTCAAGTCAAAAACATAATTCGTGGAAGCATCATCCATTAATCAAGCATCCATTAATATTTGGACAGTCTGGGCCTTAGCTTAATCTTAGCCCGATACAACAATAAATTCAGAATCAAAGATTATGCTGAGTTTATACTCAGCTAAGTTTGTCGTGAGCTAAGTCTGAGTAAAGTCAAAATACGATCTATAGATCTCAGCCTTAGAGCTTGCTCCTCGTTGTCGATCTGGTATTTACGTATGGCGTAAATGAGATGGTTATACCGCCATCTATCGGAAACTAAACGATCTTTCCGTGATATTATTTTTGGAACGAAGTTCTTTATCGGACGGTACAGATTTGGCGGATGGGGGCTAGGCGACAAAAAGTGTAAGATTTTTCCGTCCGACCCCTTCTAACGTACTGTAGACGGCCTTGGCGGCTATAAGGAAGCGAGATGGAATAATATCAATCCCCCTCACACTTTTTCTTATCTTACTATGAAAGAAATACTATTTTATTTTAAATGACGCTTCATTTTAATAGACGTTAGTAATTCATTTATTTGTATTTGTTAATCAATAATATAATACGTTTATAAATAATAATATACTATGAAAGGTACTTCGTTCCCAGCGAGTGCTCCACGACACTTACGAATGTTTTTTTTTAAATAAAATATTCCACAATCTCATCGACATCTACAGGACGAAATTAGGTGATGGATTCTCTTAAGCCATCACGACACGGTGCGATACGTCTGGTTCTTGGATTATTTATGTATTTTTTTTATTTTATAGGAGAGGGGGCAGACGAGTATGCGGCTCACCTGATGATAAGTGACTACCGCCGCCCATGAACAACCGCAACACCAGGGGAATTGCAGATGCGTTGCCGGCCTTTTAAAAAGGAGTAGGCACTTTTCTTGAAGGTCCCTAAGTCGTATCGGTCCGGAAAAATCGCTGGTGGCAATTGATTCCACAAGGAAGTCGTGCGAGGAAGAAAACTTCTTCTAAATCGCACAGTGGTGGACTGACAATCATCCAAATGGTATGGATGGTATAATGAGTTTTGCCGCGATGTGCGATGGTGAAATTGAACGGCTGGTATTAGTCTAATTCCTTAGAGCACTCCCCGTGATAGATGCGATAAAATACGTGGATTAGGGGTTAAAGAAAATTCTCCCTATAACGTTTAGAAAATTTCAAGCAGAAACATATAATTTCTGTTAAGTAGCTTTATTACCAGTCTACTTGTTAAGTTTGTAACCATATCGATATTTATAGAATGTAAAACTGAATAAATTTTGATTTATTGTAGTTGTTGGCATTGGGTTTCATATCACCCATGATATACTTGTGTTCTTAGAGTGGTGAGCTGTCAAAAATTCATACCTGAATCATTAGAGACAATAATAGACTCACAGTTTTGATGCTGAGAAGGGATATGGTAATAATGTGATAAGAGGCGTACAAACAGGGGATGTAAATGTAAAGAGGGAGGCTGACAAAACGGATAGAATGTGTAAACAAGGGTTTGTTAGTTCGTAAGTGGAAATTGAGATAACAATGTGTCAGGAGTGTTGGATCGACAGAGGCAAACATTTTATTATAAAATGTTCAAAAATATATTTTCGTATATCTTGTGACATGTAAATTTTATTCTTGAAAATTTCAAGCGCCGCTTTTCGTTAGTCTTCGTAGGATAAAGTGAACGAAATTTACATAAAACACTGGTAGTAAACAACTGGTGAAATTAAACATTTTTTATAACCGACTTCAATATAAAAAATAATTTGTTTTTGATTTTTTTTTAAAACCTCTGACTGATTTCGCTAAAATTGGGAAGTATGCCCTTTGAAACAAAATAAGGATTATCCAAATCAGTTCAGGTGTCTTCGAGTAATCGGTGAACATACATTAAAGATTCCGGCGAATTGAGAACCTCCTCCTTTTTTAAGTCAGTTAAAAAAAGAGTTCGCCAGCCTCGAGTTCAGGCTCAGAGTAGCCTCTCGATATTCTGTAGGATACATAACGGAGAGTGTACGCAGGAAATATATGATTCAATTTCACCCTCCCTCTTTCCACTATCGGACAACCATATAGTCAGCGGGTCTCTACCGCTTTGTTGGAGATGTACATTTTGTGTTAATAGAATAGTATTAATATTTGAGGATTGTTAACAATCCAACAAGTCAACAGACATAGCTTGAGAACATTATTTTTATCGTAAAAATAAATTTCTTTAGTTTAAAATTCTGAACCGAAGATGAAGATTTTATTTTCATTTAAGGACGTTATTTATGTTCATGAAAAACTAAAGCTAATTTTATCGTGGACAGATTAGACGCACGAGAGGGCATAACGTCTCAGTGGTCCGACCCTTCTACCCTGGGTAATCGAGCAACTTTTCGAACGAATACCACCCCTGCTGTGCTGGTGTTAAATAAACTAAGGTAAAATATATGATTTTCGTGTTGCTTGCACTTTTTTTAAGCGAAAATCTTTTTCTTTACTTACTGAAATTTATTGTCAAATCAATGCGTTCAATATAATTATAATGGATTGATTTTGGATCACTCTAGTCTTGGCCAATATTTGTATAATGTCCATGTAACATAATATAATTTTTACAGATTATTCCTTACTTTTAAGTTATAGTTGTTTGTGATAAAATAAGTCAGCTACATTTAAATTACACCGCTTAAGTGTTTTTATTTTAGTTTTATTACCGTGTAGTGGCGGAGTAAGAATACCCACTACCCAATATCATCCCGTGGGTGTCGTAAGAGGCGACAGAGGGAAACAAATTAGGAGATGGACAGCAGCGTCTTCCTAATAAAGACTTATAATGAAAACGGCAGTTGCCGACCCGCTTTTCAAACATGGCAACTATGGCAAATATCCCCCCTATGAGGCAATCTAAGGGGAGGCCTTTCTTCAGCAGCGGACTTTAATAAACTGTAACGGCGGTAACGGTAAGTGTTTTTAACGAGGCGATTAATTTGTTTTTTTTTTCAAGACGCACTTAGGCTGGTGTAAGTCTTGCATGGATAGCATCCAGTGTGGTGGATGGAGCGGTATACACCTTGAGTGGTAGCAACCAGCCATGCTATTCAAAATGTCTCGGAAAGATTTCTCTCGGAAGCGGGAATGTTTAGTTCGTCAAGTAATCGACTCGAATGTCACAGACGTTGGTATTCACATCTCCTATCGTTTCGGATTCGACACGGAAAGTTTTTCGAATGTCAGTGGGAGTGCACTAAGTGCAAATATAGAAGTACATAACATACATAACATAAACACTCACGCCTGTCACCCAGAGGGGTAGGCAGAGACTACGGACTTCCATTTGGCGCGATCCTGACACACCTCTCTCGCCTCTTTCACATCCATATATCTACGCATACACGCTCGTCGGTTAAGGGTACTCCTAATCTGGCCCATTTTCAATGTATCGCCGATCTGGTCGATAAACCTTCGTCTAGGGCGTCCCTTCCCGACCCTGCCGTTCACTTCTGCAACATAAATTTGCTTTGTCACTCTTTCCTCGTTCATTCTTTCTACGTGACCAAACCACCGAAGCATTCCTTTCTTAATCCTTGTCACAACGTCATCTTGCAAACCACACTTTTCTCTTATTACATTATTTCTCACCCTGTCATTCAGATTCAGCCCTAGCATACTCCTTAAGGAACGCATTTCTACAGCATTTATTCTACTCTCATGCTTCTTCTGCCAGACCCAACTTTCACTACCATACATTAAAGTCGGTACTAACACAGCATTATGAATTGCCATACGTGCCTTAGTTGACACATTCTGACTCCTCACAATAGCGTGTAGAGCCCCATTCACTCTATTTCCTGCGTTCACTCGTCGTTCTATATCCTTATCATATCTACCATCCCTGCTAAATAAACATCCCAAATATACAAACTCATCCACTTGCTCAATCAACTCCCCTTCTATTCTTATTTTACATAAAGTTTTACTTTCTTCTCTTTCAAAAACCATCACTTTCGTCTTACTTGCGTTCACTTTCATACCCCTTTCTTTCAATGAACAATTCATTAAAGTAACCATCATTTGCAACTCGGCCGCCGACGATGCAAATATGACTTGATCATCGGCGTACAAAAGGCATTTGACGGTTGACTCACCCATTCTCAACCCACATTCTTCAACTTTCAAAGTTTGCAAACAACTGTCCATAAATAGGTTAAACAGCCACGGGGAAGCCACACATCCCTGTCTGACACCTTTATGAATGCCAAACCAGTCCGAGTAGACCCCGTTGATCCTGACACAAGCACTAGAGTCCCTATAAAGAGACCTTAATGCCTGTATCAAGCCAGCGCTCAACCCAAATGAGTTCAGTGTTTGCCATAACACGTTCCTGTCCACTCTGTCATAAGCCTTTTCCAAGTCTAAGAACGCACAAAAAACTTTCTGGTTTTTAGCCAAAAACTTCTCCGCTATCATGCGCATGGAAAAGACTTGATCCGTACACCCCATCCCCTTTCTCAATCCAGCTTGCACATCCCAAATTTTTCCTTCAGTTTCTTCCATAACTCTTTCAATTAACACCTTAGCATACAGTTTACCCACAATGCTAAGCAAGCTGATACCACGGTAGTTTTTACAGTCCTGCTGCGACCCCTTTCCCTTATATATTGGGACTATAACGGCTTTGCACCAGTCTTCCGGTACCCGTTTCAGTTCCCAACATAAATTAAACAAGGTGTGCAGCAGGCCTGCAACCACACCCTCACCAGCCCTTAGCATTTCGAGTGATACTCTATCATATCCGGCTGCCTTACCTGCTTTCATGCTTTTCATTGCTTTCATTATTTCATCTACACTTATCTCTCTACCTCTCTCCACTTCTTCCGGAATTTCTATTTCACTTATTTCAGACGACTCTTCACTCTTAAACACGCTTTCAAAGTATTCCTTCCATCTCTTTAAATTCGAAACTTCATCATTCAGCATGCAGCCATTCTCGTCTCGTATAGCATTCATTCTAGGCTGTTTTGAATTTCCCCTGGCAGTTCTTACGAGCTTCCAGAACATTTTAATATTTTCCTGGAAGTTATCAGATATCCTTCTATCATTTTTATCTATCCTTTCTTGCTTTTTCCTTTCAACAACTTCTTTTACTCTCTTATTTATACGTCTAAAGTTTGCCTTTTTTCTTTCAATCTCATCATTCATACCGCCAGAATTACCAGCTTTAGTTGCTAGTAAATCTAGCCATGCTCTCTTCTTTGCTTCAACTTCCATCCGTACCTCATCATCCCACCACAACGTATTACTTTTCCTTTCATTCGTTCTCTTACTTACACCGCATACTTCGGTGGCTGCATCCACCAAAACTTTCTTAATATTATTCCATACATTCTTCAATTCTAAATCATTCATACATAATTCATTCAACCCACTTATATTTTCCCTCAGTCTGCATTTATACTTCTCTTTCACACCTTCATCTTGTAACCTCTCTATTCTTATACGCTGTAACGCAGTGGTAGACACCGATGTCCGATGCCGCCAACGTCTGAATAGACCATTAATTCGGCATAAGACCAAGTAATGATCCGTCCCTACGTTGGACCCCCGGTAAACCCTTGTATCTACCACTGCGCTCCTCATTCTTTCATCCACAATTATAAAATCTATCATGCTTCTATCATCCCCTCTTTCCTTACACATGTATACATGTGAATCCTCTTATGGCGAAAGAAAGTGTTCGCCACAAAAAGATTCTTTTCCACACATACGGTGAGGAGGTCTTCACCATTCTCATTTATTCTTTCATCGCCAAACGTTCCTAATATCCTTTCATAACCAGACCTCTTCACCCCCACCCTTCCATTAAAATCTCCTAACATATTAATATTTTCATTTTCCTTACATTTCATCAACACCAGCCTTACCATGTCCCAAAACTGCTCTCGGATATAAGTGGGCTTAGACATATCTGGGGCGTACACCCCTAGCACATACAACTTCTTTAAGCCCACTTTCATTCGTATCCATAGCAGCCTTGGGCTAACACATTCATACTCTTTCACACATTGACCCATTCTTTCTGAAAGGATGACACCGACTCCCTGGCATGCCCGCTCGGTCTCGTCTACTACGTATAGAAGTAATTATATGGAAATACGTCCTATAGATAATTGAAATTAGTTTGTGTTACCTACAAAGAAAACTTATTTATCTTTTTTAATTATCACTTCTCAAGTTTTCGCCAGCCTGAGAGCTCTCGTAAAGTTTCCGATGCGAACTGTCACAATTCTCGAAAACGAATGTCAAATTTATACGAACGGCGAATGTGAATAGCGTTTATTGGTTTCCGTGAGAGAAGTTATCGAATCCGAGTCGATTTTCCTTACCGAGACTATTGTGAATAGACCTGCTGGACACTAATACAGAACCGTGTGTTTTTCATGCACGCTGAAAGCCTTGTTTTGTTACACGATTAAAAAGAGCGGGCACTCAGAATATATTTTTTTAAAGAATAATAGTGACGCTGCTAACATTTTATGACATATTATTTTAATATATATTTTAATTATATCTTCGAGGCAAGATTAAATAGCCCTTTGTTAAGTCAGCGCGTTTTACCAAATCCACTGCTGAACGGGATGTTCATCAAGGAATAGCACAAAGTATGTTTATATATTATTATATAAACATAAAGATTCAAAGAAATAAATAAAGAATTTATTAAAAATAATAATCCTTGAAAATAATTTTTAAGTGTAATGTTTCACTGGTTTGGAAAATACCTCCGTCCTGTGAAGAACCAGCAAACTCCCCACTGGGGCTTTAAAAAAAAAAGAAACAATTCACAATTATGCATTACGTTGTAGAGTTAACCAAAAAAAAACATAAAAGGTTTTATTATCTTCGTATCCAACAGGCCAGAAGACAGCGGCCAATACAGATGTAGAGTGGACTTTATAAAATCTCCGACTAAGAATTCAAGACTCAACCTCACAGTGCTTAGTAGGTACTCTTTGTGTCTAAATATTTTTTATATTTACCATTACCATATTATAATCTATTGTAAGTTATGTATTTTTATAATATACTAGCTGTTCCCCGCGATTTTGCCCGCGTGTAATTTATTACGATTCGATTTCTGGGGTTTTGATTTTTTTGCTCGGAACCCTAATACATTTTCTAAAATAAAAGTAGCCTAAGTTACTCTTTATAACATCTAGCTATCTGCCAGTGAAAGTTCCGTCAAAATAGGTTCAACCATTTTGGAGATTAGCTGGAACAAACAGACAGACAGACAGACAAATATTTAAAAAACTGTGTTTTTGTTATAAGTACCGTTTATACTTTCATAATACATTTAGTTAAAAACTGTTATTTTAACATTGCAAACAGAAACTTCAATTTTATTTATTTGTATAGATGACGCACGATTCATTATAATGCTAATATATGTAATATTTTCACGGGAATAATAAATTTTAATCCCGAAAGTAATTTATTAGTCAAAATTTATTTCATGTAACAAAAACCCTGTGGTTTCCGTTAAGTGCGTTATCAGAATTAGCATTAAAACGTATAGAAATAACTGAAATTCAGAAAACACAATCATAAAAAAATTAAATTACATTAAAATAAATTTTCATTTGCAAATTGAATGGGGTTATATATATATAGCTTTGCGCGTAAAAATAAAATTTTCTTTAAATTTAATTAAATTTTTTAATGGTCGAGTTTCCTGAAGTAAAGTAATTTCTATACGTTTGACGGGAACTACAGGGTCTTTGTTCATGTTGTATATTTATACGTTTGTGTTATATCTTTGTTCCCACAATGAATCAAAAGAGAAAAAGTGACATCCAGTATTAATATGGGATTATTCTGATACTAATAAAAAACGTGTTTTGGATATAATAATGATAAGATAAATAAATTTAGGCATCGTCTAACTTAAAAGAAGACAGAAAAGATGTGCCATGGCATTTTATCACTTTTAGCATGTCAGATGTAGTAAAATTCCTAAAATCTATTAAACCAGAAGAGATAGGGTGCGCGGAGTTAGATTTTATGAAATTTATAAAAATACAAAGCAAGTGCGTACAGTTTTATATTATACTTTTACTTACTATTTCACCAGCAGTAGTAACTACACTGAAATTTATAATATGAAAAATTTGTATAAGTTATTTTATTGTGGTTAAATATTTTAGTTCCACCAGATCGACTGATCGTAATTAGTGAAGGCAATGATGAAGTGCACGGGAATATACTTGGCCCTTACGACGAAGGAGCAGAGGTGAATTTAACCTGCATAGCTGTTGGAGGTGAGATTAATTACAATGAATATTTTATTTACTATTTCCACAATGCAAAGGCTTTGCTTCTAAAGTTTTATGTCCCTGCTTATTAATTCGTTATTCCTTTCAATTTGCTATTTTAAGATGTTATTCTGTGAGAGCGTGGTCCTAACCCGGTCGGGCCGAACAATCTGTGCTAATAATATAGCTGCAGCATAGCTCTACCACGTTTCTATTCTGAATTAAGTTTCTTTTTCTAAAAATATTTAAATATCTACCAGGAAATTTATTTACGTAGGGTATAAAGCCAATTATTTGTTTAGTATAGTTTGCCATTATTGACGCACCTCTCTCGTTTCTTTTACATCCATATATACTTCTACGCCTACATGCTCGTCTGTTCAGGGTTCTTATAATTTGGTCCATTTTAATGTTAGCTCCATACATATGAATATGGCATTTTGTACGGGAGGAATATAAAGTCAATTTTTTTGTAAAATATATTTATTTAATCAAAGTATGCAGCGTTGTTATCTATGCACTTGTGCTATCTCATAGGTAGTTCATTGATCCTTTTACTAAAAAAACCATGGGGGCGAGAATCAATAAACTCTTTGAAGGCGGTTTGGACTGCCGCATCGGAGTTGAATTTTTTTCCTTGTAAGAAGTTGTCCAAATGTCGGAAAAATGGTAACCTATTGGAGCAAGGTCAGGGAAGTACGGTGGATGTCGCAGACATTTCAATTGCAGCTCATATAACTTAGTGGTTGTTTGTTGTGCACTGTGTGGTCTTGCGTTGTCGTGAAGCAGCAGTGGCCTAGAGTGATTGACCGATCTCGGTTGTTTAGCAGCTAGTTCTTCTTTCATGGTTTGCAGTTGCTGACAATAGATATCTGCCGTAATCGTTTGGCCAGATTTTAGAAAGCTGTAGTGAACGACACCGGCGCTAGTCCACCAAACACTCACAAGTAACTTTTTCGGAGTCAATTTTCGTTTAGGGCAGGATTTAGCTGGGTCTCCAGGGTTCAGCCATTACGACAAGCGCTTCCGATTATCGTAAAGTATCCACTTTTTATCACAAGTGATGATTCGATTTAAAATCCCTTCATTATTGTGTCGGTTGAGCAAAGTAACACAGCAGTCGACGCGTGTTTGCAAGTTCGATTCACTCAATTCGTGAGGTACCCATCGTTCAAGTTTTTTTGCTTTCCCGATTTGCTTCAAGTGGCTTAATACAGTTTTATCACTTACCCCGAAGACTGCAGCTATCTCTGAAGTTCTTTGTGATGGCTCCGCTTCCACAATAGCCTTTAATTCTTCACTTTCCACTTTGGCCTCCGGCCGTCCACGGGGTTGGTTCTGAAGGTCGAAATTTCCAGAACGAAAACGTTGAAACCGAAATCGTACCGTGCTTTCTTTTGCGACACCAGCGCCGTACACATCATTAATCCTTCGGGCTGTTTCTGCAGCACTGGTGCTACGGTAGAGCTCGTACTCGTAAATATACCGATATTTCATGTTTTCCATTGTGCGGTAATAAGCGACGCCAAAAAAAAAATAACAAGGAAAAAACAAACGAATGACTGTTTTCAAAACTCAAATGTACCAGCTAAATGAATTTATATATTTAAATTTTTAACTAAAGAGGAGATATTTCAGAACAAAGTGGTCAGTACGAGAAAACGTTAACTTCATATGTAAGGACCTAATATATTGCTGATTTGGTTACCTAACTTTTGGTTCTAATATTGCAATATTAGTGACACATGCACTGCTTTTTTTCTTCTTTTCTTAAGGTATTGTTCACAAACGCGGTATTTGAGTTCATGTTGAATACTTTAATAGGATTTTTTGCTGTATCCTTGTATTGTATGTTATACATTGTGATCAGAGTAATTTACACTTTTTTTTATAGGATAGGGTGACAAACGAGCACGCAGTCCACCTGATGGTAAGTGGTTGCTGTGGCCCATGGACATCTACATCTATCCTCGTTTGCAAATCAAAATGCAGATGCATTGTCACCCGTGAGGACTAAGATGGAATGCCTCTTTTCCAGTAAAAAGGGTCTCCGGTTTTCTACACTCACCATACGAAACACAGCAGTTTTAAGCTGCTATTTTACGCTGGTATTCTGTGAGAGCGTGGTCCTTCCCCGGTCGAGCTGACCCATTCGTGCTACAACTATACTACTAATATAGCTGCAGCATGGCTCTACCACGTAAAATTTATGAGATGAAAACAAATGATAGCCCTGCAATCTGTTTCTAAGATTATTTCTTCATTAATATTGTTGTAAATTTTGTTCTGATTTTTAATCCCCTTTCCTTTTCCAGTAAAATCTTTTTTGTATGATATGTTTTTAAGTAAACAAATTTGTCTCGCAAAGGTTTTAAGTACTCAAACGAAATAGGATATTCGAGATTTTAGATTTTTCCGACAAACAAATTGTACATGCACTCGTATTTCTTTCAGTAAAAATTTAATTTCATAAAATATTTCTTATTTTTTGTGTAACTCAGGGTCTGGCTGCTTTGAATTGTAAAACTCAGTCGGAGCGCGATTTCTTGCGGAAGCATCGAATATTTATTCATATTATATTTGTAAAACTAGGTTCAGTAAAATAAGAGGATCCTTAGTTTTGGTGTATTATGTATGCAAAGAATGAAGTGAGCTATGGAGAGGGCTTTGCTGGAGGTTTCTCTGTGTGCATGACGATATCCGCAGTGGAACCAGAGTAACCGAAAGAACCCAACGAATTAGTTAGCTGAAGTAGCAGTGGGTCGGTCATATATTAGCTCGAAAAACGAACAACCGATGGGGAAGAAAGGTTCTCGATTGGCAGCCTCGTACTGGTAGGCGAAGTGTAGGGCAGCCCCTCTCTAAATGGAGTTATGACCTGGTATTGCAGGTCATAACTCCATATGCAGGAAGTCGATGGGTGCTTTGTGGCATTATTGGAGAAGGCCTATGTTCAGCAGTGAACTTGTGAAAGAAAGTAATGATAATGATGAGGTATGCAAAATTTTTGTTAAGTTTCTTGTGGGAGGTTTTTGGTGGTAGACCTTTTCTACCCAGGAGTTCGTCTGGATAGGTACCTACCTCTTACCTGCTTCTGCTGCCAGATAGTGTTGCCTGAACTGTGATGTTCCGGTCTAAAGGGTATAGTGAGTCATTATATTTACTGGCTGTAAGGCATTCCATCTTAGTCCTCATAGGTGACAACGCATCCATGCCTTTCCTTGTTTGAAGTTGGCTACAGGTGCTCATGAATTGCAGTAGCCAGTTACCATATTTTATGCCCAGGTGGACCATAAGTTCGTTTTTCACTTCAGTTGAATAAAAAAAATATAAAACTGCCTTTGTTGCGCCGTAGACTTGCTATGGATTGTAAAGATGATGATGATGTATGCAAAACTATAAATTAGTATGCTCGGATTTTTAATGGACGTAGGCTCTATAATTTTTACGTTCTTTAGTTAGAAAACAAGATTTACTTTGTTGTAATTCTTAAATATATGGGAAAATTTTATAAACTTTTTGTCCTGATGATAAAATTCAAAATTGTTTAAACTGTGTACGCGACTATATCAGAAAACCTTCTGTTTAAAATTGGTGCTAATATTTTACGTTGTTTTGTTCGCAGTAAAATCGGATTAAAAATTAAGCATCCTTTTTTATTAACAATGCACATGAATTATAGCGTAGAGTTCATTACGACCGAGGTTTAACAAATGCCTATTTTGAAAACAAGTAGGTACATACAATAGCTTATTACTGACAGAAAAAAGATCATCTCATTCTATTGTGCGCACGTTGAAGGACATTCGTATTGTCATAATATGTACTATACGTAAGATATACATCAGTTACATAATATGTAACGGATGCTACATATGATGTAACTGAATGCGGTTACGTCGAAACTTATGATATCATTAGTGGTGGATCATTGGCGGTTTTCGCGGTAATGTAATGCAATTATTAGTTTTTATTCGATGAATAACAGTTTGGCAGAGCAGTTTTTTCAACAGGTATTAAATCAGTTTAATTTATAGTTTTCTCCAATATTAGTAACGTGCTGATATATGAAACGGTGCAACATTTTTTTTCGATATTGGCATACATTGCATAATTTTATAAAATTAGTTCGTTTCTCAATGAGATAATTAGTGCAACTTGTTTTTTTAAGTAGTGAAAAACAGTTAATTCGTTTCTTATTATAATATGTTGTTTTAGATAGTAATTGATTCAATGCGTGGCCATTTCTAAATCAATTCCGAAGTTTTTACGAAAAATATAAGCGAACTTGCAATTAGTCACCCATTTTTTAGGGTTCCGTAGTTAAATAACAAGGAACTCTTATAGTTTCGCCATTAAAGTCCGTGCGTCGTTCCGCGGTTTTACTCAGAGGCCCCCAGTGATACAAAGCTGTAATTTGGAATAGTTATAGATATAAAGTTCTGAAATAAAATCTTGAAAACATTTATATATTGGAAACTTCCATACAGGTGATATTTTCATACCCGTCTTTCCATCATGTGTGGCGTCGTTAGCTATTTCTTTCAAAAATATTGGGGGTGTGGAACAACTTTTTTTTTCTATTCAGTCTGTTTGCAAAATATTTAGCTATAACGTGGTATTTTTTATTAGAGTCATGTGCCCCACCCCTTTCCAACTAAACCACTGTTTTTAGAAATGTGTGAAGTATGCATAATAAATAGTAATACTACTAATATTATGCATGCTTCATAACATATATATGTTATGAAGTTAAAAGTAAAACTATCACAGCTAAGAAGGCTTAACAAGTTGACGAGTAATAATCGACCAACTTATAAAATGCATTTGGGTTAGTAAAAATTTCGTTACGATTCCATATAAAATGACTTAAAACTAGCTGTATTATAATTTTGTCATCTTATTGTAAACCGTAAAAAATAAACATTTTTAAAGAAAACGATTTATACATTACTATTTTAGCTCTACGTTTTCCATAGTGGGGTAGGCAGACGGATCGATCACCAAGAGACCGATCCTGTCATACCACTTTCGCTTATTTTTAGTTTAGTTATTGTAGGACTACAGTTTCGATCGTGGTATTCTGGTTTACACGGGCGACCCTCAGGATAGTTTAGGACAATGGTGGTTTAGGGGAAGATTCGTTAGTTCGTTACGGTCATGTATAATATGTTAGGGTTGCACTGCCGGGAAATAATAGATGGATAGGGAACTACGACATTTTTGTACGGACTTGGCATGAGAATGATTTGATGTAGATTACATTATTTTCAAAAGCGAAAAGTTTTCTAATTTTTTTTAATATGTCTTTCTATAAGCCGGCTTGAAAAATAAGCAATACTCCGTGAACTCACTTAGAATCAAGAAGGCCCCTTCTAATTTCACGTATTGTGACGTGCAATTACGGAATCCTATATTGTGCGTGGCCGGACACGCACTTGGTCGGTTTTTTATTTTATATCGTCATGTATATAAGAATATGTTAACGTAATAATAACACAATAATAAAAACAGATCAGAAGTAACCCGGCCACAAAGTTCGAAGAACTGAAAATCGATTTAGAAGAAAGATTGTTAAGTGAAAATTCCGAGTAGATGGAATGATGACCTGGTGAAATGTATGAAGAATATTTTATATTATTCTCTAGACTACTCCGTGGAGAAAGCCTACGTTTAATAGTAGATTTTAAAATTAAATTTACTTAAAAGAAGAACAATATCGCTAAAATATGTTGTATTATTTACTTTTGATAGTGTATGGATATATTAATAAAACATCGACTTTTATGAACAGGTCGTCCGATAGCAAGGGTGTCATGGTGGAAGTCGCATGCTTTACTCGCCAACTCAGAAGCAAGAGCTACAGTCTCACTTAAACTTCACAGGCCTGACTTCGGTACCGATATCACATGTCAGGTAAAATTATAAATACACGTAAATAATTGACCAATATTTCTAACTGCCATGTAGTGGTGGAGCAGGAGAAACCATCAGCCCATTTTGTACCGTAGGTGTCGTGACAGGCTACGAAAGGATATGCTATAGTCTCCTATATTTTGAATCATTCACATACAAGTGGTAAAATTAAAAATTTTGTACAACCGACTTCAATATAAATATAATTTATTGTTGATTTTTTAAAAACCGCTCCACTGATTTCGATAAAATTTAAATGGAACCACCTGGAAAGTTATACCCTTTGAAACAAAAAAGAATTTTCCAAATCGGTTCTGGCCACTTCGAGTAATCGGTGAACATACATAAAAAAAACAAAGATTCCGACGAATTGTAAACCTCCTCCTTTTTGAAGTCGATTGAAAATAATTTTATCGATTGCGGTATACACATCTTGTCGTAAGATACCCAAACCGGAGATTTTTTTTATTTTCATTTTCAATTATGAAATATTATTTTTATTATTTATTGTTTTTTTTTTTTATTTACAATGTTTTATATATCCTCATTAGGTTAATTTAAAATTGAGACAGTAGATTATAACTATAAATGGACACTTTATTGAATTGAGAGAATGAAGGTGGATATAGATTAAGTTACATACCTACTCGTAACTTAATCTGTATCCCACCTTTATTCAATTTGATATTTTTCTTTTTAAATGTGAATTCTACGTTCAGCAATGTTGTAATTGTATTGAAATGAAATAACTAAAAAGATTTTATTTTGCAGGCAGTAACGGATCCATCAATACCTCCATTATCTAACAGGCTTTCGATTGACATGAATTGTAAGTCGTTTTCAAGTTAAGTTCAATTTAATTTAGTCTTGTGGGTAAAATCGATTACTTCTCCCAGTAGGCTTCGTAAGCTTGACTTACAAAAATATCAAAGTTGCTCTAAAAGATGTTAAACTGCTGAAAATATGTAAGAGATGGAATAATAGTAGTGTTTTACAACAATATACGAAAATGCTCTCAGTAATAATTAATCGAGTTTTTAAATGGAGGTTCTGCTGCCTATTACCCCATTTTGATATGAATCTATGTTTTGGAAACTATATCTTACTTTGATATAGTTTTATCAAAGTCTTTGCTCTTTCTTTTCAATTCGCACAATGACACTTTTTGTGAATGTGTGTCGTCGTCTCTAAAAACGGAAATTAAAAAAAAAACTAAAAACTGCAAGATCTCGAAATATTTTTATTTTGTTCTACCACCAGTAACTTATAAATTTGCCATGCTTGGTCTCCAACTTGGGCTGACTTAAAAGGAATATTACTAAAATGTCGAAGTAATGCGACATGTAGCAAAAGCAGAACAGAGTATGAAATTCGCTATAAAGAAGTAAGACGAGCAGCACGTAGCAGATACATATACTCGTACAGTACAGAGCACGTTGTAGCGTTATGCTGCTATTTAGTGCGAGCGTCGTCCTTATCCAATCAAGAATCGAGATAATTTATTCATGATGCAGAACAGTACGCTGTAGCGTGACTCTATAACGTATATCCTAAGTATTGATTGGTAATTAATTTATTATTGCGCATTATCCAATAAAAGCTATTTACAATACGTTGAACCGTTTCACTTGATAGGTAATTTAATAGTCCTTATATGTCTGTAGTGCCTCCGCTTTCGGTGCGAATACAAGGAGGAAAGCGACCTTTAGTGGCTGGTCAAAGTACGGAATTAACATGTCAAGTAGTGGGGGCCAGGCCGAAACCTGTTATATCTTGGTGGAAAGGAGGAACCAAGTTAACTACTGTAAGGGATTCTGTAAGTATAAAAAATTCATTGTATTATATTTTTTCAGGTAAAAATGTGATCGTTACTGTGATGTGTGTGATGATATTTTCAAAGTGTTTATTAAAATAATATGGTAATTCATATTAATGTGTTAGTCTTTACTTAAATGTATGGTAGTGAAATGTGGGTGTGACAAAAGAAAGACGTAAGTAGAACTAATACTGTTGAAATGCAGTCATTAAGGTGTATGTTAGGGTTGACTGAATGAAAGGGTGAGATATTGTCTGGTAAGAGAAAAGTTTGAAGAGAAAATAATGTTTCGGTGGTTTTTTTTTTATGTAGGATAGGGTGACAAGCGAGCACACAGTCCACCTGATGGTAAGTGGTTCCTGTGGCCCATAGACATCTACATTTATCCTCGTTTGCGAATCAAAATACAGATGCGTTGTCACCCGTGAGGACTAAGATGGAATGCCTCTTTTCCAGTAAAAAGGGTCTCCGGTTCTCTACACTCACCATACGAAACGCAGCAGCATTAAGCTGCTATTTTACGCTGGTATTCTGTGAGAGCGTGGTCCTTCCCCGGTCGAGCCGACCCATTCGTGCTACAACTATACTACTAATATAGCTGCAGCATGGCTCTACCACGTATAACAAATAAAATGTTCTTGGATTTGTCTAAATGCAGGAAGAGTGACGACACAAATTTATGTTCCGCAAAAGACGGAAGATTATCGGCCAAATTGGCGATATATTTAATAGATAATTAATAAGATGGACCAAATAAGAGTAGTCTTAACCGCTGAGTATGTATGCATAGATTTATGTACTTGAAAGAGGCGAGAGAGGTCAGGATCTTGTCAAATTTAAGTACGTAGTTTTTTTAAACAACTTGTGTTATTTGTAATTTAGCATCAAACGATTTACTGACTGAACTTTTCATTATACTTACCATTTACATTATAATTATAGCCTATCCCAAGTCCACCGCTGACAATTGGTCTCCAATAGGAATGCCACTAAACAAGGTCCCGAGCCACCTGCTTCTATCGACTTCCTGCGTATCTTTTAAATTTATTTAACATAGATATATTTTTATCCTGTCGACCAACTTTTGTTGTGTTTGTTGTATCTTTAACGTTGTTTGAACAGCCAATGTTTAAATTCGTCAAAACTAAAAAAAATCATCTTCTTGTAAGTTCTGAACAAAACCAGCCGAAGCATTTTATTAAAAAGATAAAGCTAAATATGTGTTGTATAAATCTTTTCCACAAATACTTTGTTAGATAGTTTGTGCTTTATTTGGAGAAATGCCAAATGCGTAATGAGATGGAGTTCGATTCGCGACAGTAAATGTCACAGATTCAACTACTGTCGTAAACCGCAACTACTATAAGCTTTTATGCTTAGTTGAAGTGGTTAGCAGGATTGTGAGATATACAGGGTTATTTATCAAAGAGTAGCCATGTTCAGTCTTCACCTGAAAATTTTCTAACGCGTCTAGTAATGTAAAATATCTTATAAAATTGCATTTTTTTGCTTATTTCGTATCGCGTAATTGAATTTTCTAATAAAGCCAGGAAAAAAGTAATGTTACTATGTTTTTCAATTGCACAAAGGCCCAGAAGCCATGCCAAAAATATTTAAAAAAAAAGAATAACATGATGAAACAATCAAAGAGCGTTTAAAAAAACCACTACGTTTAAAAAAATGAATGAATGACAGATAGGCTGTCATTTGTTTGACGTTTTGCAGTTGTTTGTTTGCTCTTGTTACGTATTGTACTATGCGATTTTTGATTTTCTGATACCCTTAAAACTTTTGCATTTTCCACGGACTTTGATACCTTCCACTTACGATTACTTTGGCCTTTGTTATTCGGATACCGATTTAGTGCCTTTTGATTGGGGTCTAAGGATCTAAGACATTATCGCTCTTGTTGGAAAGCGTTAGGGAACCTTCTACGAATTTTTTTTGTATAAACTATAACATATGTGTTAATACGCTTCAGCGTTATCGACTTGACCAAGATTAATGCTCAAGCCTTCTCTGTATGAGAATAGACCTTTGCCCAGCAGTGAAGTAGTATTATTTACTCGTCCTTGTCTGTTCATCGAGTTAGATGGCTGAAAGTGTCGTCTTCAGCTTGACCGACTCCTGGAGTCTGGTCCATTTCGACGACAGATTTTTACCGATAATTCAATGAACTATATCTATATTGTTACAAGTTGCACAAAATGTAGTGTCAAGGATGGCTTCTCATCACGCGTGTTTTCTTTAAAACTCTGCATCCGCGGGATATTATGAGAATATAACTGCCGTTTGCGACCGCGCGCTGATTTGATGATGATATTACATCGAAGAGGGATTTATTTCTGAGTGATTGTAACTCTATCAGCGATTAAGAAACAATTCGATTTTAATTATGGTATAGTTTTTGAGGTTATGATAGTTGTCAGACCTTATTTGAGAGCTGTTATAACCTCAAAAAATGATTTACTTAATAGAATTTTTCCCTGACCTCTAAATGAAAAGACAAGTTATTATGTTATTATAAGCAATAATTGTTTTTTACAACACTAGTTGTAGGTTGACGTAACCTGTAAACGAATGTAAAAAAAATAAAGTGACAGCTCAATCAATGTATGGAAAGTGGGCATGATACTTTTATATTTAAGTTCAAAAATATAAATAATGATATACCAATATAACTCTTTTTGAAAATATGAGTAATTAGGCTCCTACTTTTAATTGAAACTATCACAAATTGGATGTAATTTATGGGCAACAACTACGTGTGTTTGCGATTCAATTCACGTTTTCGTTTCTCAAGTTTTTTTTTAGTCTATTGACATGTTAACTACTAATGCTTAAGTTAATAAATACACGACGCAAATTATTACGGGCAACAATTTTAACAGGCTTAGGATCGATTAATAAATAAAATAGAATAAAATATATTTTTCATTTTCAACGATGTAACCGACGACTGTTATTATTATGGCGTATTTAAAAAATGGAATAAACTATTTTAAACGCATTCTGAATTTAAAAAATTAAGTATTTTTGAATTTTTTCTTAAATATATTTTCTTCACCACTTGCCTATATAACTTATTTTAAATCTTCTTTACAAATTTGTCCGTATATTGCAAAATAACCGTGTATATGAGCATTTGCAGTTGTTAAATGATTAATGATAATATTCTGAGTAATGGTTGATCTCTTATCACACTTTTGAATACTCTTTGAAGGCTCAGTATATATGTAAGCGTGGTATGCTATTAAAATATTTAACATAAATTATTCATTACTTAATAATAATAGCTTATCTCAAGTCTACTGTTGAACCTAAATTGCCTCGTAGGGCAATAGGTATATTTGTTTTAGCAGTCACACTTAGCATACGGATAAACAACCGCAGTTCTTTATTATTTTAACTTGTTATCAGGTAGATGCTATTGTTCATCTTCTGATTTAGTTTCCTCTATCGCCTCTTAAGAAACTCACAGGATATTGGTTTTCTCTCATTTCTGTGTGATCTCAGGCTGTGAGGCATCAGTTCACGGAGTGAAGTAACCACATACCATTTTATAAAAAAATTAAATGATAATTGGGTCATTAGTACGCCACGCTATTGCTATGCGTGTTGACTGACGGACTTCACATGTCTTGGAATTATTTTCATTCCTCAAGTATGCGGGTTTTCTTAAGATGTTTCCCTTTGTCGCCGAGCACGTGGTAAATTAGAACTCAAAAAAGAAATTAAAAACGATAACGGCTTAGTACCTGAGCAATCACAGCTATAAAAAACATTTCAGTTAACAACATGATAAAATTCTTTTTGTTTGGCAGACTTCGATGGATGGAAATATCACCATAAGTGTTCTAACTTTTGTGCCAGCGATAGAAGATGCAGGCAGAGTTTTATCATGCAGGGCAGCTCAACCAAAAATATCGCACACTACTCGAGAAGACGGCTGGAAAATGGAGATACAGCGTAAATATCTCAACAAATTCACCTTAAGATATTTCTTATATTAATGTTTACAAACCATTGCTTTTTTCGTCGATATATACTCAAGATATACGCAATGGCGGTTAACAAAATGACAGACTGCGTTCGGTTCGGCTTAACATTCGATATTTATTCTATTAATTTTGGAAGAATGTACATGTTTAAGAGATGATTTTTCAATCACCAGATAAAAGTTATGCATGTGATAAAATACAAAATTAACACATTCTAACATAGCAGTTCTATGAATAGAATAGTTTGATTTCACTTTTAGTCACACTTATCCACTCAGGTTATAATTTAGTTGACGGTTAATTTTTATCTGATAATTATTTTTTATAGGATAAGGGTGACAAACGAGCACATAGTCCACCTGATGGTAAGAGGTTGCTGCGGCCCATAAACATCTACATCTTTTCTCGATTACGAATCAAAATGCTGATGCGTTGTCACCCGTGAGGACTAAGATGTAATGCCTCGTTTTCAGTAAAAAGGGTCTCTGGTTCTCTATACTCACCGTACGAAACATAGCAGCGTTAAGCTGATATTTTACGTTGGTAATCTGTGAAAGTGGTCCTTCCCCGGTCGAGCCGACCCATTCGTACTAAAACTATACTTACTACTAATATAGCTGCAGCATGGCTCTACCACGTAAAAAATTATCCCTTAAAATTGCTAAACATTTTAGTGAAAAACATATTTTATTATAAATTAAGGGTAACAAACGAGTACACAGTTTACCTGATGGATGCTGTGGCCCATAGATATTTACATCTATCATGGGTTAAGAATCAAAATGCTTTGCTAAAAAGTGTCTGGTACTGCCTCACTCACCATACGAAACAGAATTAAGCTGCTTCTTTACCGTGGTATTCCGTGAGGGCGTGATTCTTCCCCGATCTCATACGTCATCTCATACGTGCTATAACTAATAGTTAATATATGTAGATACAGTGTGGCTCTACTATAACATTTAACATTTGTTCAAAAACAAATTGGGGCTGTAAGTATGTAAAGCAAATTTAATAAAAGACAAGCTTTTATTCAATTTACTTTATATACCTGTTTATTAAAATGAATATATATTTACTTAAGCAAACCTTATCGTGATTTACTGTACTACGAACAAAACATTTCGTTAAAAAGTAAACAAAACCAGTAAGCTTCAACGCACAGTAAGAATTCGTTATGACGGGTCCTTCATTTGTCGTGTTCATGACTTTTCACGATAAGCTTAAGTTACTAAAAATACAAACCATTTATTCAAAATAACGATCCCATAAACGTCGACGTGTAATCGAACTTTAAAAGGTAGGGGAGGGGAGAGTTAATTGGCAAAAGATTTGCTCGATTTTTGGCGACTGACACGTGCGATGAAACTGATCGAGAGACCAATAAGCTATTTTTGTGGATCGAGACATGACACGAACATGAGTACATATTTTCGTTATCGAAATACCTTGTCAACAAAACATAAAAAAATTTTAAATTGAGTAAATCGTTAGGCACTAAAAATCTTAAAAATTCAAGTAAAATGGTAAAAATACTGTAATATTATGGGTTATTTAGTATGTTTTTATACGTAGTACTTTAAAACAATAAACTTTTATTAACTTAATAAACGAAATAGTTAATAACGCATATCGCGTTTATATTGAAACAACAAAATGAACGAAATGTCAAAAAAAAAAGATATCTGCGATAAGGCGGTAAGATTCGTGACTTAATTGCCAGGAATAATAAAAAACTTTGTTTGTTAATATTTCCTATTTTACTCATAATATTTTCTTCGAATTATTTATATTATTTCGTCAACAATGCCGGTCTTTTTTTTCAAGTAACGTTTTAACATAAAGTTGTAATAATACGAAATACCTGTTAATTAACATATCTATGCTATTTATAACTTTCTAATCGAAGTAAAAAGACTTACACGTGTACTTAAAATACGTACATAATATTATTGATAAATTGAGAATAATATTTACAGATTTACCGGTCGTTACATTAAAGTTTGGTGCGAACTTGGATGCCGATAAAGTAGTGGAAGGATCTGATATCTACTTGGATTGTAGAGTCCGTGCAAACCCTTGGTACAGCAATGTTCATTTCACTCATAATGTAAGTATTGAAGTTTTGTATTATTTCGATTCGTCATAGTCACCATTCCAGCCTATAAAAGACAGAAAATAGGCTGCCATTATCACCTTGTAGCCATAGTTGATAGGCGGGATGGCAACCGTACTTAGTTGGATCTACTCAGTCGATTTTAAATAAAATTTGGAAATGTTTTTTAAGTAAGATTACATATTATTTAATCGATACAATGTTATTGAAGCCGATGTCTTGGAATAGAATAGAATATAATCATTTTTATTTGAAAAATTAGGATTGTCAATTATGCCTGCCAAGCGTGGTAACTATGGCAAACATGCCTTTATGAAGGCAATCGGTGTGGTTTATTTTCAGTAGTGGTCATTGGAAAGTTGTAATGAATGAATGAATGTAAAAAGGTACCCGTCAGCCCAAAGATCAATCCGCGCATGTTGACTTAAAAATAGGATATTTCCAACAGGGTATTACAGTGAAGGCGGGACCTGGAGTATTACTCGCAAATCAAACTTTAGTTTTACAACACGTGTCTAGACAAGCGGCTGGTCCCTATGTTTGTTCTGCAACAAATATCTTGGGTGATGGATTTAGTTCACCATTAATTTTGGATGTAAAATGTAAGTATACTTGATTTTTTAGCAATCTATTTATATGGAAACATCTATTTTTGTATAGTTATTATATGAAATTTTTTAAAATATATTTTTTTATTATTAGAAACAAGAAAGCAGAATAAATGCAGTTGAGATGAGAGCGTTAAGAAGTGTGGTAGGATTTAAACTGAGTGACAGGATAAAAAATAGTGAGATAAGAAAACGTTGTGGTCTGAACGAAGATGTAGTGACAAAAATTGAGATAGGTATGCTGAGATGGTTTGGCCATGTCGAGAGAATGAATGAAGAACAATTGACGAAAAAAATGTATAAGGCGAGTGTGAATGAAAGTGTTGGAAGGCTTAGACCTAAGCGGACGTTTCTAGACCAAATCAGGGACGTCTTGAAAAAAGGCCAGGTCAAGAGTACCCTAAACCGAAGAGCATGTATGAAGGGAATAATGAAAGTGGACGAAGCGAAACAAGTATGTAAGGATCGTAGCAAGTGGAAAGAAGTGGTCTCTGTTTATTAAAATCATGTATAATTCGAATTGTGTCGTTAGACACAATAGTAATAGTTAAACACAATAGACATAGTGTAAAGAGGAATTAAATCCCCCAATTATAATTATTTCACTCCATTTCTGTACGCATTACGAACGACGTAGATTGCGTAGTATGTCATCAACAAAGAGGTGACTTGCTGGTGTGTGGATGTCTGATGGTTGAAGAGATGGGAAAGAATAAGTTCATGTAATTCCTACGCTTACTGTCCGAAATGTATCCCTGTAAAATACTAAGAGGATGGCTACTCTAGGCGCCTGTGGTCGAGGTTGCCAAGTTTGGTTTTAACTAACTCAAGTTTAACAACAAGTTTCTTAGTATGTCTTTTCATGAAATCTAAAAATACTGAGTGGCATTTTGCAGCACCAGCCCATTTAGTGGCAGCGGTACACATTTCTTAACGTAACCGGGCTTGCGTTTTGTATAATGTTTGTATGATTAAAATTGAATACATTTAATATATTTATGAAGGCTTATGTCGACCGAAATATATAGACGTAATGAATTTTGTATGTATGTACAGATGCTCCAACTTGTAAATCGGAACAACCGATCAATATCAGGGCAGCGAGAGGGGAAGTTGTCGAGATTGAGTGCATCGTAGATGCTAATCCTAAAGTAAGTAAATATTATATCAGAGCAGCTACAGTAAAATGTTTGTAACATTCATTTAATTCAAAATAAATGCTACTTTCTACAATACAGATATCGCATATATATATATATATATATATATATATATATATATATATATATATATATATATATATATATATATATATAATACACACTTCTATACCATTTATCCAATTATTACATAGCTTTGGTCAGTTATTATGTGCGCGACTGCAAAGGTTTCTTAAATTATTTTCCATAATATGTATGGTGGTTTTCTATGCGTTCCAATAATATTTATCCGATTACGAGAAAATTTTGGTAAGTTGTTTTCAGCGCGCCCGCGAATGTTTCTGATAAAAGTCATTGTAACGCCCACGTACAATATTGTTACGAGCTTGGGGTAGACAATTAAAAACTACCCAGTGAATTACCAAAATTTACACTTTAATTACAGAGCACTAATTATAACTTAAACCACACTAATAATAAAACACAATCGTACTACTTATCACTTTAGTTTGCAGTTCTATCGTTTCAAATTATTCGCTTATATCGCCAATTCAATACTGCCCCGGTCGCGGTCTATACCAGTCTTATATAGGGCCTCAAGTAGTTTCCGGAACATTCTACTATAGAAACTTCTAGAATGTTCGAGTATATATCGGTCCCGATTGACTAGGTGTCGATAGTTCCCGAAAGTTCTTCCATGGAAATTTCTAGAAGGTTCTTGACTCTTCTAATTCTGCTACTCGATACTAGAGGGCGCTAGTGGTAACTTAAGTTATTTCATGTGTTGGCGATTTAAAAAATAAACCATCCAATATCATTCCGTAGTCATTACACATATGTAAATATGTAAGTGTAATCGGTTATGGTACATTAAGTAAATAATAACTGTATTTTATAGCATGTGAGTGTGCGTATATTGTTATTTTAGATTAGATAATTAAAGTAAAGAGTTAAAGAATTATAACTTTGGTCCTTTGGAGAGGTCCTAGTGTTAGACCCTACGTGCGTAGATACTTTGTTGGCCTCTCATCTCAGAGGTACCTCCCCTCTTAGGGTTATATGTCCGGGGTGGCTTCAGGGGCTGCTGAACTAAGTGAGAAATGACTCAACACTTGTTTAGTAATTTCTCAGAGTTTTAAGTTATCGTTCCGTGGGGTCCACGTACGACGAAGTTCCTAAAGGAACTGTTTCCGCGACTAGTTGTCTAACTGTTTGGCTGGTTCATTTCTCACTCAGAGAATAAGTTTAGTGAGAAAACACAGCTAGGACTATATTATAGTATATTTCATATTATATTTTTATGATATTTTAATAAAGTACAATACAGCACTTTTTTTCTGCAGGTTTCTTTAACGTTTCAATGGTGGTTTAATAGTACGACACACGCGAAGCGTGAATTGAAAATTTCTCCGCTAAACGTACAAAATCAAGCAGGTGAGTAATTATTCTGCAAACAGTAAATGTTTAAATATAGCAAACAGTTTTTAACATTGAGTTATATGTACTACGTACTAGAGAAGCCATTTTAAACAAAAAATGTGCACTACTCTATGTTATGGCGCATGCGCGGAAGATAGTAGAGTCGCGCATACGCAGTTGCGCCACCACAGACTAACTACTAGATTGAAACCACACAAAATGTCACACTGTACGGATTGCAGTACAGTTTAGTTGAACATAGTGTATGTTCGGAATGTGAAATCTAGTACGTAGTACATATATATCGATGGTTTTTAATAATTTTAAGGCTATTATCATAAAATCAACAACCACTTGTACAATACGCTCAAAGCCAAAGAAAAAAAAGCGTCATAATTTTTTACAACAAATTCAAAAACTATTATTTATTTATTTATTCTTTATTGCACCAAATATTTGTACAAAAGGCGAGCTTAATGCTATATGGCATTCTCTACCAGCTAACCTTGGGTAGAACAGAAAGTGAGATTGGGCAGTTAAGTTGTCATGATATAATTCAGTTCTAATATATACATGCAACACATACATAAAATATATATATAATTCATATAAATATATAAAAATATATAATACACACACATATACATATATATATATATATATATATATATATATATCTCAATAAATGTATATATAAATAACTATAAGTTGATTCAACTTTGTAGGCTACGGATATGCTCGTATAGTTTTCTTTTAAAAACATTTTTGACAGGTATTGTTCGCAGGTCAAAAGGCAATTTGTTCCAGAGGGTAATGGAAGTAACTCTGAAAGAATTTGACATAGACATTTGACATTTTGCATAACTAACCAGTAGAAGTAGTCCAGTAGTAGAACCAGTGGTCTTTCTGATAGTTAACTTTTTATATAAGCTGATTTACTGCGAATTTAAACGCGACTGCTGGTTATGTGGTCATTCGAACTCCGGTCGGGTCGAACCAAATTCAGTAATTGGACTTTTCTGTCGTGAAATTCAAAGTTGCAGCCCGAGGTCAGATATTTGGTTGTGTTTACCTACTTGCCTCAGAAAGAATGTAAAGTCATTTGTCCAGCACCTAATCTTTCTCCGGATGGGTCGGATTGCGGTCCTATCGGCATATAAGAGTAAAAAAATATAGGTGCACCTGTGCCAACACACTCGTGCATTATAATTCTGTCATGCGTAGGTGACATACTCGTAAATTTGATCTGGAGAACACTTTACGATTTTGCAACAACTTTATTAATGACATCAAGATCATCACTCTGTTACAAATTAATCTGCAAAATTTTGCTTTAAAACAATTTTCTAATCATGGCTAATTGAAATGGGCACTATTTGAGTACTATGATGCATTCTGTTTGATATTGTTATTAAATGTACGCAGGGAAAATAAATTTATATTTCCCTTGCATTTAAGACAATTATAAGTAACATCCTGTTCATTAATTATAGCGTTTATGACGGTCTACATAGTTTAAATTGTGAACAGTCTTTAGAAGTAAACTATTTGCCGCAAGCCACTTTGAAATGATATTAAGTTTAAATGGGCTTTATAAAAAGTTGCCTTATGGTTGGTCTGGGATTTATTGGTCCCATGTTTATGTGGGGTCTATATCAAAAAGAATGTGCCAACTATGTTACTTGCCTACCATGTCGTAAAAGGCGGCTAAAGAAATATAAGGTTTGTGATTCTTAAGAGATGGGCTAGCCACCTATGCTTTCTTTCACAATTTTTCGTTTAAACCCATAATTTATTTTATTTTGGCGAAACGTGTTCGGAGTGGCTCTTTGCTCTTTGGACTCGGCAGATCTCCTCTGGGATTACAGGTGCGACGTGTGGTGAGTGCGCAGACCAATAAAGAAAGATATACACAACACTACGTATATTATAAGTGCGCCGAAACCGTGCTTTGTCTCCGTTAATTACTATATAATAACTAAAAGTTCAAATTATTGCTAAAATAAATTATACTGAAATTACTGATTTCTTTTTTTCAACTTTATTATATGAAAAATAAAATATTTGTATCAGGTACGATTCTCTACGTTGTGAACTCGTCAGCGGACTACGGCTGGGTACAGTGTGTTGCGTCTAACTTAGTGGGGTCACAGACACTTCCCTGCGTGTATCACATTTTACCAGCAGGTATGATTATATTATTTGGAATTTTATTTGTGTATGTAAGCTTTTAAGAATATTGTTAAAATTTTATACGTTTTATTTATCATATTTTTAAATTGTACTTTAGTGATATACTTGTAGGTCAAAAGTCCTTCTTTCGGTAATCCGATTATACATTTAATTGAATAACGCGGCACCATTCCAAGGACTGTCGGTGTTTTAGGCACACATAAAATTAATGCGTGTGGTTGTATGTGCGCGCATCCACACTATCGATTGTGTTGAAAACATGAACTGGAGCAAGGAAGCATAACATTTATTTCTTACTACGCACATTTTAAAGTACTTAATGGTTGTGGTATACTAAACAGACGTCGATCGTTAAATATTCACAACACTCGAATGTGTGGATAGCTGCGCAATGATTGTGGCGATGGTGGTGGAACAAGTCAGTATTCCCCAAACATAGACGAATGTGAAGTAGGGCCAATTAAGCCAGCTTACTTCCGATTAATTTTATACCCATATCATAGATGTGCATAGAAAATTACTAGTCCGCCTCCCTGGGCGGTCCGCCATATTGGATTTAGAATGAAGTTACTACTCTAAACCTAAACATGCATTGTCATCCAAACTAGACATGCATGCAAAATTTCAGCTCAATGGGTTGAGGAAAACTGCTTTAAAATTCAGTTGCAAGATTTGCTCCTAAGAAACACAAATATTTGCAAGTTAAATAAAAGTTTTTAAAATATTTACGAAGTGAATTTTTAATTTATAAAACTGATCTTCGGGTACCAAATATCCATTACGGTTTGCGGGTAAGCTTATAAGTTTCAAAACAACGTTTGAATCGAAAATAAAATGGATTTAGAAAAAAAAAAACAATCGGGATCTTATTTAGCGGATATTTGCTGTTTTAATAAGAGCGTAACCTGTTTTAGAACGTAAATAGTTGACAGTTTGCCTTTTGTTATATTAAATAACGAGGATTTTGTTTGTGGAGTAAACCTTAATAATATAATCATATATTTTACAAATGTGAAATTGATAAAATTACAAAACGCGATATAATAAAAATAAAAAATGAAAACATCAGGCTTATAATATGGAGAGCTAATAAATTATTTGCAACGCACAAATCCCCCGAGAGCGTACTGAAGCGTAATCTGTCACTATACTCCCCTGAAAACTCACATATTTCATCTTCCTTAAAATATTTTTTTTCTTTTCGGTAAACGGGTTTCCTTGTTGTATTTTCACCGTTAATCATGATGTAAATTTGTGCTTACTTTTTATCCATCTACTACAACCTGTAAAAGTTCACTGTTGAACACAGGCCTCCGTCATAGAGTTTGTCAAGGTGGGGATGCCGTAGATGGCGGGCGGGTTGGCTACTGCAGTTTTTTTTTAAATTTTGAGTAGTTATCAGGGAGATTTATACGTGGTAGAGCCATGCTGCAGTTATATTAGTAGTATAGTTGTAGCACGAATGGGTCGACTCGACCGGGGAAGGACCACGCTCTTACAGAATACCAGCGTCAAATAGCAGCTTAACGCTGCTGTGTTTCGTATGGTGAACGTAGAGAACCGGAGAAGCCATTTTACTGGAAAAGAGGCATTCCATCTTAGTCCTCACGGGTGACGACGCATCTGCATTTAGATTCTTTATTGAGGATAAATGTAGATGTCTATAGGCCACAGCAACCTCTTACCATCAGGTGGACTGTGTGCTCGTTTGTCACCCTATCTTATAAATAAAAGATGCCTATTGCCCGTCTCCTGTTTAAGTTTCCTTATTTAGCCTTATACGACACCCCCTGAATGATGTTGGTTAGTGAATATTCTTACGCCACTGTATAGTTACAGACAAGCAGTTTTTTTTATTAATTTATTCCTATTAACCAATTATACTTAACAACTTCTCTGTACGCGAAAAAGGCACAATAGCTAAATAATCGAAATGTTCATATAGGGACGGCACTGTGAAATGGTTAAAATGTAGACGATAGTAGATGAATGGCAGATTTGAACTCAATACTTTGTTTGCAGTCAGTATCTTAATCATTAGACGACTACCGCTTACAAACTTTTGAATTGTTTGAAAAGTTTGAAAAGAACGAGAAGTTTATAAGATGTCAGGTATATCTTGTTGCGATTGTAGTTAAGCCTCCTCCTAAGCATAGGGATTAGGGTAACTCTATCCATGTCAGATTCTATCCATAATAGATTTGAAGTGCTTGTTTCATTCCATCTTTGTATTACTACATTATGCTGTGTATTGGCGACGTAAGATATATCCATTACCCCGTCTGATCCCGTGGGTGTCTTAAGGGGAAACAAAGTATTACTGAAACAGCAGATGACTCAAAATAATAAAAAACTGCGGTTGTCACCCACCAAGAATGGCAACTATGGCAAATATCCCCTCTATGCCGCAATCTATGGTATGTTTGTTCAGCTGTAGGCATTTGAGAGGCTGTGAATTGTTTAAATTAAAATCGAAAATAGCACTTAAGTACATAATTTGTTAAAATCATTTTAATTTAAATATTCATAAACTAAAAGAATTTTCATAGTTATATGCCATAAATAAATCTACTTTAATATCTCAAGTAATAATAATATACAAGACCTTCTAAAATAATTTGGTGAAACGAAACTACTAGATGGGAACTTGATAAAAGCACTTTTGACCTACATTGCTGAAGTCGATCGGAACCATTGGTTTGAATTATGTATATCATGTTTTCTCTTATTATAAAATACAGATTGCTTTTATCTTGGTTATGAGAATATATATAATGATCTCTGTCTTAATGCGGTTGTACTATCTGTTTAGAAAAGCCGTCAGCAGTCAGGAATTGTGATATCACAAATGTGACGTATGATTCCCTCACACTAAACTGTACGCCAGGTCATGATGGCGGGGTCCGCCAAACGTTTTTTCTGGAGGTGAGTGAACTTTTCATAGACATGAAAATGTGGAATGTTTATGTTGTGTTTAAAAGAGTGTGCATTTCTTGGAATTCAATAATATTTGTGTTGAACTATTTATAGATCATAATCATCTAATTTGAGATTTCATTTTAATTGGAATTAGCTTCAAGAGATACGGATCTACTAATAATTTTTCGTGTTAGTAGACTCAATCACGGATATAATGTATCTAATACCAGAAAATGGTTTTTAATAGATGGTAGTACAACAATCTCGTACGGATATAATGTAATACTAGAAAATGGTTTTCGATAGATGGTACTACAACAATCTCGCATGGATATAATGTAATATCGGAAAACGGTTTTGATAGATGATAGTACAACAATCTCGCACGGATATAATGTAATACCAGAAAACGGTTTTCGATAGATGTTACTACAACAATCTCGCACGGATATAATGTAATATCGGAAAACGGTTTTGATAGATGGTACTACAACAATCTCGCACGGATATAATGTAATATCGGAAAACGGTTTTGATAGATGATAGTATAACAATATCGCACGGATATAATGTAATATCGGAAAACGGTTTTGATAGATGATAGTACAACAATCTCGCACGTATATAATGTAATACCAGAAAACGGTTTTCGATAGATGGTAGTACAACAATCTCGCACGGATATAATGTAATACCAGAAAACGGTTTTCGATAGATGGTAGTACAACAATCTCGCACGTATATAATGTAATACCAGAAAACGGTTTTCGATAGATGGTAGTACAACAATCTCGCACGGATATAATGTAATACCAGAAAACGGTTTTCGATAGATGGTAGTACAACAATCTCGCACGGATATAATGTAATACCAGAAAACGGTTTTCAATACATGGTAGTACAACAATCTCGCACGGATATAATGTAATACCAGAAAACGGTTTTCGATACATGGTAGTACAACAATCTCGCAAGGAAATAATGTAATACCAGAAAACGGTTTTCGATACATGGTAGTACAACAATCTCGCACGGATATAATGTAATACCAGAAAACGGTTTTCGATACATGGTAGTACAACAATCTCGCATGGATATAATGTAATACCAGAAAACGGTTTTCGATAGATGGTAGTACAACAATCTCGCACGGATATAATGTAATACCAGAAAACGGTTTTCGATAGATGGTAGTACAACAATCTCGCACGGATATAATGTAATACCAGAAAACGGTTTTCGATAGATGGTAGTACAACAATCTCGCACGGATATAATGTAATACCAGAAAACGGTTTTCGATACATGGTAGTACAACAATCTCGCACGGATATAATGTAATACCAGAAAACGGTTTTCGATACATGGTAGTACAACAATCTCGCACGGATATAATGTAATACCAGAAAACGGTTTTCGATAGATGGTAGTACAACAATCTCGCACGGATATAATGTAATACCAGAAAACGGTTATCGATAGATGGTAGTACAACAATCTCGCACGGATATAATGTAATACCAGAAAACGGTTATCGATAGATGGTAGTACAACAATCTCGCACGGATATAATGTAATACCAGAAAACGGTTTTCGATAGATGGTAGTAAAACAATCTCGCACGGATATAATGTAATACCAGAAAACGGTTTTCGATACATGGTAGTACAACAATCTCGCACGGATATAATGTAATACCAGAAAACGGTTTTCGATAGATGGTAGTACAACAATCTCGCACGGATATAATGTAATACCAGAAAACGGTTATCGATAGATGGTAGTACAACAATCTCGCACGGATATAATGTAATACCAGAAAACGGTTTTCGATAGATGGTAGTACAACAATCTCGCACGGATATAATGTAATACCAGAAAACGGTTTTCGATACATGGTAGTACAACAATCTCGCACGGATATAATGTAATACCAGAAAACGGTTTTCGATAGATGGTAGTACAACAATCTCGCACGGATATAATGTAATACCAGAAAACGGTTTTCGATAGATGGTAGTACAACAATCTCGCACGGATATAATGTAATACCAGAAAACGGTTTTCTATACATGGTAGTACAACAATCTCGCACGGATATAATGTAATACCAGAAAACGGTTTTCGATAGATGGTAGTAAAACAATCTCGCACGGATATAATGTAATACCAGAAAACGGTTTTCTATACATGGTAGTACAACAATCTCGCACGGATATAATGTAATACCAGAAAACGGTTTTCGATAGATGGTAGTACAACAATCTCGCACGGATATAATGTAATACCAGAAAACGGTTATCGATAGATGGTAGTACAACAATCTCGCACGGATATAATGTAATACCAGAAAACGGTTTTCTATAGATGGTAGTACAACAATCTCGCACGGATATAATGTAATACCAGAAAACGGTTTTCGATAGATGGTAGTAAAACAATCTCGCACGGATATAATGTAGTACCAGAAAACGGTTTTCAATACATGGTAGTACAACAATCTCGCACGGATATAATGTAATACCAGAAAACGGTTTTCGATAGATGGTAGTACAACAATCTCGCACGGATATAATGTAATACCAGAAAACGGTTTTCTATACATGGTAGTATAACAATCTCACACGGATATAATGTAATACCAGAAAACGGTTTTCGATAGATGGTAGTAAAACAATCTCGCACGGATATAATGTAATACCAGAAAACGGTTTTCTATACATGGTAGTACAACAATCTCGCACGGATATAATGTAATACCAGAAAACGGTTTTCGATAGATGGTAGTAAAATAATCTCGCACGGATATAATGTAATACCAGAAAACGGTTTTCTATACATGGTAGTACAACAATCTCGCACGGATATAATGTAATACTAGAAAACGGCTTTCGATAGATGGTAGTACAACAATCTCGCACGGATATAATGTAATACTAGAAAACGGTTTTCGATAGATGGTAGTACAACAATCTCGCACGGATATAATGTAATACTAGAAAACGGTTTTCGATAGATGGTAGTACAACAATCTCGCACGGATATAATGTAATACCAGAAAACGGTTTTCGATAGATCGTAGTACAACAATCTCGTATGCAGCAGATGTAAAACACCGGCGATGTTCAGCAGCGTTAAATATGCGGGTTACCTAGTACTGCGATCGTCAATTGGCCTACCACGCGTGATGATTAAGTACTACCACGTCTTAGATCAGCAAAGAAAGATAGACGGAGCGCTGCATACATTTAAAATGATGACGAAATCATGCTTTACTTCTGGACACGCACAAATGTTTCTTCTTTTTTCTTTCTTTCTTAGCCTCCAAAAGTGTACAGTTGGATGCACATATATGTATCTATAACGATGTTGTAAGTTGCAAACTGTTGGCTTTACAATAAGTTGAGCTCGATTTTGGCTTGGACTTTGCGCCAATTGAAATGTACGCAGCGCTTCGCCTTTCTTTCTTTGTTGGTCTGAGTATCGCTTAAAATAAATGTTCATTATTTAACGTTCTCTCTTTTTTTATAGGATAACAAAATACAAAATTAACACATTCTAACATAGCAGTTCTATGAATAGAATAGTTTGATTTCACTTTTAGTCACACTTATCCACTCAGGTAATAATTTAGTTGACGGTTAATTTTATCTCATAATTCTTTTTTATAGGATAAGGGTGACAAATGAGCACACAAGTGGTTGTTGTGGCCCATAGACATCTACATATATCCTCGTTTGCGAATCAAAATGCAGATGCGTTGTCACCAGTGAGGACTAAGATGGAATGCCTCTTTTGCAGTAAAAAGGGTCTCCGGTTCTCTACGCTCACCATACGAAACACAGCAGGGTTGAGCTGCTATTTGATATTTTTTATGTGAGAGCGTGGTCCTGCCCCGGTCGAGCCGACCCATTCGTGCTACAACTATACTACTAATATAGCTGCAGCATGACTCTACCACGTAAAAAAATAATACTGAGCTAAGATAGTAATGATTAGAAAATTATTTGTACGCCTTCAAAAGTGTACGTTAATATTTTAGGTTTTCGACAAAACAACAGGTATGTTACTGCGTAACATAAGCAACGAAGAGCCGCTCTTTGAAGTACCTGGACTTTCCACGAGTGGCGTCCTAGCGTTGTCAATAAGATCGTATAACAGTAAAGGCTTAAGTGAAGCTTTTACGCTTGCGTGTAGTCTTTTGCAATATCCGGAACGAAGAACAGGTTAGTTGATAACTCTTATTGTTATAGTAATACATTCCTTATAAATGTCATTCACTAATTTGAGTATATCTTAATATTAGTGATGAATATCCCTTATCTATCTCTTATTATAAGTGTTTAAGACTTAAATAAATTATGAGTTCTCAATGATTAATATTATATACATTTAAGTAAATATATTATGATAGTGTATGCATCGTGAGATGATTGGACAATTGGAACTGTTAATAAATTCTTACGACGATTGCAAAGGATATTTGGATATTTGGATTCTAAGACAGATTTAGTTTTAGACTTTACACTACAAACTCGGAAAGTCGTGGGTTCGAATCCCCCATTCGACTACTGTGGTGAACAACTCCCGACATAAGCATTTATAGTATATAGTATCTTATTCACTACCCCTAGTAGTAGCCCACTGCTTAACTTATTAAATTTTCTATGCTTAGCAAGCTGTTTAGCAACCGTAGTATACTTGCTTCCACAGCTTCGTTAGTATGGGGAAATCTTGTAAAAAATTATCACTCGAAAATTAGAGGACGCTTATGGCCAGTAATGGGATGAATTTAGGCTCCAATCCACTTTTTCACGTTTTTCTGAGAAATGCAATGACGGCAAATACAACGAAGGTAATGACGACGGTAACAGATTTTTAAAATAAAATGTTACCGGTATTTGTAGTAAATACAAGTGATGCAATCCACGCGAAATTAGTCAGACTCACTCATATTCGAACCTGTTGAGTAACTAGCCCAATATTGTATTCAGCTTAATTTTAGCAGACTGCAGGATGTACAGGGATAAACCCTCGCATGAAAGTCAGCATCAATGTGTTGAGACTCTGGATTCTTAATAGTTTGTAATGCTAACGGATCAAACTGTGCAATACTAAAATGAGTTTTGAATATACTAGATGGTAAGACTGTTTTTCTTCCTAGGTCTCCTTCTGGGTAGGTACCAACCAAGTCAGTATAATTACAGGCTAACAAGTATTCCATCTTAGTCCTCAGCGCAGTGCAAGTGTCCATAGACTGCAGTAGCCACTTATCATCAGGTGGACTGTGAGTTCGTTTGTCACTACAGTTTTAATAATAATGTATAAAATGTTAAATATATAGCGTCGAATTCATTACCGATTCTAAGACGTGGATGTTAAGGTTTTTTTATGTATAGAAAAGTTCTGACAAACGAGTACACAGTTCATTATTTGATGCATTGAGCCCTGCAGACAACGATGGAATGCAACGTTTTCAGTAAAAAGGGTCTCCGGTTCTCTACATTCGCCATATAAAACAGCAGAATTAGGCTGGTATTTCACACTGATATTCTGCGAAAGTGTGGCTCTTTCCCGATCAAGTTGAGCATAATATAGCCGCAGCGTGGCTCTTCCACGTATATGAAGATATAGTTGACTTTTGTATATTGAGCTTATTAAGATGTTTTATAAATAACGTGTGATTGAAAATATAATGTTATGCGAGAGAGGGAGAGGACTTGCTTTCTCCCTCTCTCAGAGCAACCGGTACAGAATTTAATTTTTTATTTTTAGCGCAAGTGCCCGTCAAAGTAGAATTAACGACACTACTAATAACAGTTCTGGCGGCGGTAGTGATAATTACGATCATGGCGGCGGTGTCCGCCGCAGTGTGCTACTGCAAGTATTGTAATAACAGGGAAGGTGAGTTAAAGAAACCTCGTTATTAAGATTTATGGCTGCATTCTGGGATTCGGATTATTAAAAAAAAATGAGTACACTTATGCTGTTAAAGAATGTACATGACATCTCACGAAAGTTCCACAAACAATATTCACTACTAACCCGACCTGACTTTGCCAGGGTAGAATCAAATATATCTAATGTGGCGTTTTTAGATTAAGGATAATAAAAGAGCATTTATTTTATAGATTAATTCTTTTTAATCTTATAACTTTTTGGAGCAAATATAGTCCATATTACTCCTGGCAGTGCTCTTTCTGTTCCTGAAGTCCTAATGCAATTAGTTCAGTCAGTTTCGAAGATTACACCAACTGGCCGACAGACAGAGAATTTTTTTAAAAATCATTATCCATATTTATATGATAAAAGGAAATTTTTTCGATATTATGGACAGACAGTTCAATTCTCTTGGATGGATGTACTATACACTTAGTCATCCTCCTGCATGAATAAATCTTTTTCTGCTTTCGCATTTTTTCGGGCGCTTGTGGAACTACATACCCTTACATATTGGACGTACTGAGTACATTTTTTTCTTCAAAATGAAGAAAAAGAATGAGAAGTAACTTTTGAAATGTATATGGTTTTCGACAACTATGATACTTTTTCAGATACAAACGAGAAAGCTAAAAGGTCCCAAGAAGAGAGTTTAAACGTGTTGCTTACAGGTGAGAAAAAGACTGACAGTGCTGATAGCTTAGGTATGTATATCTACAATTTAATTATTGATATATAATTTCTTTACCGTTTGACATTATTTATCGATATTTTCAGATAAGAATCCGGATATTATACCTTTAAACACGAAACTAAGTGATACTTGTTCTAACAAATCGTCAAACACAGACTATAGTTCTGTCAGACCTTTAATATCTACAACTAATGTAGATGAATTTGAAATACCCAATCGTTTCAATGCACATTATAATCATGCAATAAACAGTACTTACCAGTATGAACATCCACTGAGATATAGGATACCCAATTTCCAACCAAGTTTGGCGCCGATGCCGAACATTGGAACAAATGTTTATAGGCAACCGTTTCATAATGTTTATGAAGATTGGTTGAGATATAAAAACGCGTTACCTTTAGATAGTAGCCATTTGGTAAGTGTTAAAGTATTATATAAGAAATAATATTTGTATTTAACGTATACTGTTGTCGAAATGTGTTGCAATCTCTAATTATTTAAAAGTGTTCGTAAAGTATGATTATATTCATATGTTTTATATTTTATTAGAGATATTTTCATCATATATCCACATAGCCCAACGGATTAGTAAGATGAAGTGGCAATGGGCCGGCTATATAACTTGAAGGTTCGACAACCGATGGGGAAGCAAGGTTCTCTAGTGGCAGCCACGTACCAGTAGGCGAAGTGTTTGGCGATCCCCATAGACGGAGTAACAACCTTATAAGACATGCAGAAAGTCGATATATGCAGGTGGCTCAGGACCGTGCTTTGTAGCATTCCTCGGGGGAGGTCAGTGGTAGACTTGTGTAGGGCTGTAATGATGATGATGATAATGATTTCCATCACCTACAAAAGCTACTAAATGCAGAAAGGATAAAATAGCACGATCCTATGAAAATTAATTTAATAAAATTAGTTTTTATTATTTTGATCTCAATTCAAATTACCTTTGCTGTTGTATTTTAAAAGATTGACAATTGTATCAAGCAGAAAATAACTCAAAAAGAGACGACACAACGTCGGTTCGACCGGGTACGATCTATTCACTCACAGAACATACACGTCAAATAGCAGCATAGTACTGCTGTGTTTCGTGTGGTGAATGACGTAAATTGGAGACCACTTTTACTGTTGATGACACATTTCTTCTTAATCCGCGGGGCTGATAATGTACCTTATTTTGATTCTAAATCAAGAATAGATTGAGGGTATGTTGCGATATACATTGCGAGCACTGCTCAGTGCTCTCACAGTATTAAAAATTAGTTCCGTTATGCACTGCCAGTATACTGCTGCAGTACTCTAGGGAAATATATGACGTCATGGGCTACAGCTACAACTACAGCTAGTAACTACAGATAGTTTGTGTGTCACCTATACATTTATAAATCTAAAATGAACGATTTAAGATTTCATATCGACGATAAATCTAGTCGTAACTATGAATAAACTTCTATTTCCATTTTAGCTACCATTAGAGCAACTAAGACCTCCAGAGGAATATATCTCTCCGCCACCTCCGGTACTCAGCGACTTATGTCCCAATCCAAATTCCCAGTGCCATCTGCAGGAATCCCATTTGCGAGAAATGGGACAAAGACATTCCTCAAATGAAAGTAATCCGGCTTTGAGTCAAAATCTGAAAATGTCTGATTTACCCTCTGTGAGAGTACATTCAGAAAGTAGTAGTGCATATTTTAATAAGTTCGGTGTTGCAACAAACACTATACCCCGTATGAAAGGTACTAATAGTAAGTATTAACGTGTAAATAATGTAGTTATATTCCATATTCATTCATTTATTCATTACGGTCCATCAAAAGTTCATTACAGATTATTGGCCAGCTCGTAGATTGCCTCTAAGGGATATTTGCCTTAGTTGTTACGCTTGTTAGGCGGGTCAGTAACTGTTGTTTTTAATATCCCGAGTTGTTATTAGGAAGATGCTAAGCTATGGGACAAAGTTCACTTTGGATTGCTGCAACCAAAACCATAATACTACAGCAACAAAAACTACCGCAGCACTCCGAGGAGCTACAGAGCCACATGAGACAACTCGCGAGCTATCACTGGACATACCAGTATTATTACTGACACAATCACTATGTATATATAGCAATTCGCTTCAAAATATTTATAAATTATAATATCTGTTTTATTATTTGTTTATTGTAACTACATACATTTACATATTATATTACATTATACTCTGTGCTACTCGTACATTTTTAGAATCATTAATGTTTATATCATTATTCAAACATGCTTACTAATGTACCCTCGCTACATTTGATTTGTGCAATAATGCACTTTTCAATAAAAAACGGCCTCTTGATGGAATATTTCATTTGCACAAATAATACATTCTGTTAGTAGATAGAATTCTCTAAACGTTTTAATCGCAGAAAGTCTACAAAAAATAATATATTATAATAATTATTCATCAATGTGCAGAAGCATATTAACATGACGCAGTATTGTACCAAAAACAATTCTCGTTATTATTTTATAACTTTAATTTTCCATATAATTTTACGAAAGAAGTAATGGCTACAGAATTTCTCTCAAACTCCACTTATGAATCGTGGAATTAATGACGGTAGACTGCAATGCAATCAATGGTGGCCGGTTTTGGCGAAAAGAGTATTAAACCATCAACAATATTTTTGAAATCGAGCGTTAAGTTTTAAGCCAATTTGCGAACGTTTTGGAAAGATGTAATGAGCACGTGAAGCACTTTGCGTAAATGAGAAGACAGTACTAAAATAGAACTAACAGACATTTACATATTTAATAAAAAGCTATAGTAGTCTTTTCGGTGCTGATTCCTTAGTCTATAGAGTCTATTATTGGCGGTATTATTGTAATTAATTGAAGTTTTTATGTTACTTTCAGCAATGTCACCAAAGCCCCGGCTAAAGGAAATGAAACTGGATTCCACGAAATCCACTGAGACTGAAACTGATTAGAAGAAACATTAAAAATTTAATGCGTATGTAATACAAGGCTGTCCGAATATTATGAAAGTGGTAGTAAATATTGTACATACATAATAATAAGCATAATAACGAACTGTTGAGCAAATTTAAAATCTTTGTTGTGTATAATAAATACTAATTAACAAAATAAATTTTATAAATGTGTTATTATTATTTATATCCCAAGATATTACATTTATTATTATTATTTTATTTTTAAATAAAAAAATCAGCTAATAACATTACTAATACTCCCATTAGCCTCTCAAGTCATTTAAAAAAAATGCTAGTGCTAGTGGTCCACGACAATAATCGAATGATAGATTTGAACTCACGACTTTCCATGTTAGAATGACGGCCAAACGTGTATTCGCCAAAAACAGTTGAATGTGAAAAAGGTCCTTGAAATCGAATATCGGCCTATACTGCTATATATTTCATCTATTTATACTGAATGTGTGGTCGGAAGTCGTCGGTTAGGACTTTAGAATATCATCACGCAGGTTTTGTTAACTGTGAAAAAATAAATAATTATTACCGAAATTTCAAAAATCTTGATTTGTAAAAACAAACAGTCCTGAAAGTCCTCGATAATAAATAATAACATACTTGGTTTGAGTTGTGATAACTCAAGGGCTAAGAGCTCGCCGGAAATTTCAAAGTGGGCGAGATGCGAACCAGTTGATACCTAGGAAATTATTATAATTATTTAAAGTAATGATTTATAATAGTGAGAAAACCTGCATATCTAGGTGATTAATAAAATATATTTCTAAAACATATAAAATCCGCTAACGTGCATTAGAGCAACGCGGTTGATTCCTGCTGCTCTGAAAAATAAATTTCTACCGACTTCAAAAAGTAGGAGGTAATCAATTCGCCTGTATGTTTTTTATATATGTTACCTCATAACTTTGTTCTACGTAAACAAATTTCAATGATTCTTTTTTTATTTGAAAGCTGGTGTTTTTCATGCAGTCCCATATAAATTTGATCAAGATCTGACCAATAAATAGTTTTGAGTTATCCTTAATAATTATATATATTGAAGTCGGTTGTAAAAAAATTTTAATTTTAAATTATTAAGAAAGAGGGTAGGCCTGAGTCAAGTGGAAATCCGTGGGACTGACTGACACTAAGTTACTTCCATGATTTAGTTACATATGCAGCTACGTTTTAAAAAAAAAAGTAAAGTGACAAACGAACTTACCTAAATTCCACCCGATGGTAAGTGGTTAGTACAGTTCAGGGACATCTGCGGCCAACTTCAAACAAAGGAGGATGCGTTGTTATCTCTGAGGAGTAAGTTGGAATGCCACACAGCCTGGCTCTAACCACTCCCTGGCTCTATACACTCTATATACTCTATACACTCTATACACTTTATACACTATATACACTCTATATACTCTATACACTCTATATACTTTACACTCTATATACTGGCTCTATACACTCTTCAGACCATAACAAAGCAGTGCATGTACTACTGTTTGGTAGCAAAAATAGGTAAGAGGGTTGCACCTACCCAGATAGATTCTTAAACAGAAAAGAACCCTTTCTTATTTATTTCTCTACCACTTAGTAAATGTTAGTGTACGATGCACGTCAATATGATTTCTACCCAATTATGATTACTAACGATTTGATAGTTGTAGCACGAATAGGTCGGCTCGACCGGGGAAGGACTACGCTCTCACAAAAAGCCAGCGTGACCTACCAGCGTAAAATAGCAGCTTAGCGCTGCTGTGTTTCGTATGGTGAGTGTAGAGAACTAGACTTCCTTTTTACTGGAAACGAGGCATTACATCTTAGTCCTCTGTCTATGGGTCACAACAACCATTTACCATCAGGTGGACTGTATGCTCGTTTGTCACCCTTACCCTATTAAAAAACTTTCCCGAAATACTAATTTTCGTAAAATTGGTTTTGTCCTCAAAATTAGATTAATATTACTAGGGTCATCTTATTGAATGTTATTCGTTTTTTTTTTAAATATTAATTTACAGAATATCCACAGCAAAGAGAAATGGCAGACTTTCATACATAAAATTTGTTGAGAAGAAATGGTAGTGTCTATATACCAAAAATATCTTAAAATGTTAAGCGGCAGTCCCTTAATAAATCTGTCAAAGAATTTCGTACTGAGAAGGCGTCAAAAAAAAGATATTTACATTTGAACCTTTTTAGGTTATGTCCTATGTCACTTGGAAAAAGTCATGCTTTCTGTGGTTGTTTGATGTTAGCTTAATACATAATACATAATTGAGAGTTTTTGGATTATGGTATCTCTATTATATATTTGCATACTATAAATGTATATTTCTGGCATGGCTCCAGGGATTTTGTACCATAGTGACATTTTCAGAAGGGCTAGAACCCAGAGCCGTAAAGCCAGTAAAAAACGGTGTCATTTTATTTTAGCCAGTGTTGGCATAATATTAAATGGAAATTTTACATGGTACTATGATTGAGATAATGCATTATTGTAGGAAATTCTTTGTAAGAGACTTATTCTCAGCCATATCACTTTTATTTTTATTATTACTGATAGTAAAGTTATTACTAATAATAACAATATAAAAATATTTTGTGTGTTGTGTTGGTAGTCTTACAAAGTATATACGAAAATAATATGAATGTACTAAATGGCAACATTTGAATAGAGTAAAATGATTTAAGTCATTTGATATTCCCAAAAATGTTTTTTTTTTCTGTGGCTTTAATTAAAATACATTTTTATTTGAAAAATAATAGAAATATAATAAAACTCATTTTATATATAACTTATTTCTAGACGCTATAATTTTTGTCAACTATTTTTCTGCCATTGCTCTTTGTGATCTCATCCCTACCAGTCAGAGCATATGGTATTTATTTCCAAATAGTTTACATCTAAAATCATTGATCACACAGTTATCAGACTTTACATAGGCCATATCAACACAAAGGATAAGCTATAGCTATAATAAAAGTATATATTTTTATATTTTTCTTAATACTCCGTAATAGGTTCCCTTTTTAAGGTTTATCTCTGCCACGAAGTAGTACAACGACTTTCGTGGTTCCGTCGGTATGGTTGATGATTATATATATTAATCTTTTAGGTCAGTTTTCCTCAGGACTGATGAAGCATGTATAGTCAGTCTTCTTAATTCCGCGAACATGCACTATGAAATAAGAACTATAACTTATAAGTGCTGTAATTTTACTTTTAGTAGATGGAGTTATAGCTCGTTTGTCAGCTTTAATAATAAAATGTTGTAAGCCTTGAGCACAGGTACAGAGTAGTCCATCTCTAGGTATTTTGGACCTATAGAATGCATTTTGGAGAGTGTGTTCAGGAATTACATGCCCTCCGTTTCTTTTCCACCATTGGACAATCAGGCGGTCTGCGGACTATCACTTCATTGTTATCGAAATTCCACGTATTCGAACTGCCAGTTTTCTTCGTCTTTCACAATGCGTACAGCAAAGGAGTAGAATAATCTGTCTACGTCTGTCCGATTACAATTTAGGCGTCTTTAACAAGAGTTGTACGCTAAGACACTGCGTTTTACCACGTAGGGCTTCATCACCAATTATCACCAGGTAGGATTGTAGTCTAGCACTGGTTTATGAAAAGTTGAAAAAAATAAGGTTTTGTATGTTTAAGATGTATTTATAACAAAGATAAAATATTACTATTTTTGTATTATTTTTTATTCACTATAACTTTATAATAAAAGCAGAGATCGAAATCCCTTATTGTAAAGGATTGATTTTTAGAAGATTCTGTTCTAATCTAAATATAATATACATATGACTATAGGTACTAGATTTAGCATTTAAATGCAAATGTGGGAGCATTCGCTTCAACCGTGAAATTAATGTAATGGTTAGGTTAGTACAGGCTTAACCTTGTCGAGGAAACACAACAAACGACTCATTTACATGTCACTATTAAATGATGATGTCTATATAATTGCGTTGGTTATGCCTAATTGAATTTGCAAGGGTAGTCTGATTAGCAAAGTACATATACTAATTAAAAGGTGTAATTTTAAAGAGATATTTAAGTCAATAAATACCAGTTGAGCTAATTTACTACATGTAAAAATTATCTTGTTAGTTTTAAGTACCTACACATTAACCCAACTGCGGCGGAATTCATACAGAAGTATTTTTGACTGGCATGTGCTGTGTATGCATGTAAGTCTGTTACCGTGTCCGAGTAATTTAAAAAAGGGCATGAGGCATCAGATTAAAAATACTTTATTTCAATCGATTTGTCATAATTGCGCAAGTGGTATTTTAAATAATTACGTCATGCTACATAAATATGGCGTGCATAAACTGTCAAACACTTGCGATCTAAATAGCCATCATAGTTATCGTCATCATCATTACAGCCCTTCACAAGCTCGCTGCTTTACATAGGCCTCCTCCAAGAAACGCCACAAAACACAGTCCTGAGTACCGACTAAAATACATGATTTGATTTTTGTGCCTTTAAATCAATTAAGGTATAATTGATGTAAGGGTAAAATTTATAATATCCGTTAGCTACAGACGCAACCCTACGGTTAACAGAATTAGGAAGCTCTTGATATCACACTATGCATCTTTCAATTAATTTATGCGGGCTTCGTTGAAGTAAAATATTCATAGATGTTGTCGCCACGCAACGTGTACGAGTAATATTGTATTTACTCGTAATATACAAAAATGAATGTTTGTTTGTTCGTATTTTATGCGCTGCCATACCGTTCATCAGATTACGGTAAAACTTTGTCAACATATTACTTGTAAGTACTTGCACGAAGGTTATAGGCATAGTACAACTAACTTATACTAGGAGGCGCGCGTATTGAACAAATTTTGAAAGTATCGATCTATAGAAAAATATCGATCAATGTATATATTATCATTCATAATTAAACAATATAATTCTTACAAATTTAAAACCACATTTACACAATTATTTCTTCTGCGGCAGTGACGACCCGCCCACAAGTCCACTGCTGAACATAAGCCTCCCCCAAGAAATGCCACAAAGCACGGTTCTTAGCCACCTGCAACCATCGACTTACTGCATGCCTTACAGGTCGTCACTCCATCTAGTGAGGGATCGCGCCGGGTACTAGCTAGTTATTTATAAAATAAAGTAACAAGCGAGTTACCAGCTTAGTGGTAAGTAGTCACC